GCAACTATAGTTAACAATAGTGTGTTGCATATTTAAAAGTTCCTAAGAGATTAAATCTTAAAAGTTCTCAACACAAGAAATTTTGTAATAACTATGTGAGGTGATGGATGGATACCACGCTAAAGTTAGTGTGTTAATCATTTTGCAATATATACATATATCAAATCACTAGTACAATGTTATATGTCAATTATATTTCAATAAAACTGGAAAAAAGAAAATAACAAAGGATATTACATGCTAATTTGTAAATCTCTAAAATGGAAGAGTGAAATAAGCAAGTATAGAAGGAGGTTATCATAACTTCTAAGGGGGTATAACTTTTACTTCTTTTTAAAGGAGATAGATAGGGGCACCTGGGTGGTTCAGTGGTTGAGCATCTGCCTTTAGTTCAGGGCATGATCCTAGAGTCCTGAGATAGAGTCCCACATGGGGCTCCCTGCATGGAGCCTGCTTCTCCCTCTGCCTATGTCTCTGCCTCTGTGTGTGTGCGTGTCTCTCTCGTGAATAAATAAAATCTTTAAAAAAAAAATAAAGGAGATAGATGATAGGTTGATAGGTAGGTAGATAGATGGGTGGATGGATATGCATAAGTATGTAGATAGATACTTAACTATTCATTAACACTCTGGTAGTAATCAGAAGAAACTGCTAATATGTAGGGAGTTGAATACAGTATTAAAGCTTGAGAAGGGACATTTTATTTTATTTTTAAATACCATATTTATTATTTGGATTTTTTTCCATGAGTACTTGTGTTACTTTTGAATTAGAAAAAAAAACCCTGTTTATAGAATAAAAAACGTATACAAATATCAGGATAGCCACATAACTAAAGACAAAATCGGAAGGGGGATTAAATTTGTGAGAAAAGTGTTGGGGCTGGCGGGCAACTCTCAGTTTTCTGTTGTGGGAAGAAAACGCTTTTTTTCCCCCACGACATGTTAAAACGACTCTATTTCTGATTTGAAAGGACTGAAAGTAGTCAGTTCTCTTCATTGACAGTTTTATTTTATAAAGTTGCTATGAATGCTGATTTAGTGAAAACTGAAACACCATCCACAGGAGAAATGCAGGGTTAGTTTCCTCTGAGCCTCAGGACACAGCATGTTCATCAGTCGATCAATATATAACCTTGTTTTATGTGTATTTCTATTTAAAGTTACCTTATTTCATATACATTGTTGATTCAAGAACACTGAACTTAAAAGCCAACACATGCCTGAATGAAGCTTATCTAATATGTGGATGTGGATTTTCTCTGTAAGGTACATTACAATCTTCTGCACTTATGAGCGATATATGGCACTTCAGCACAACACTTGGAGATGATATTAATGAGCAAAATCAGCAGCAAATAGCACAAAAACTCAAAGTACCTGGCAATAAATGGACTGCAGAAGGTACTTGTTTATAACAGAAGAGACGGAACAAGAAGGCAGAGCATGACCCTACTTTCACCTTAGCTGGAAATGGGTGCATTGGCAACTCGAATTTTTTGTTGCTCTGTGCACATCTACGTATGACCACAGAAGTTCCACATGAGTGTTTTGGTGTTACAAACTAATATTAGCCAGTAAACAAATTCTCAAATATGGAATCCATGAAGTATGAGAACTGACTACATACTGTTTATCAATATGGAATCTTGGGCATGTAAAAATTATAGAACAGGAATTTATTTGCATTATTGAGGGGAAAAACACATTCACCTCTGTAGAGTGTCTAAAACGTTGTTAGAAAAAGATATTAACAAAAAAAATGTCAATAATAGGGCAGCCTGGGTGTCTCAGTGGTTTAGTGCCGCCTTCAGTCCAGGGTGTGATCCTGGAGACCCTGGGATTGAGTCCCACATTGGGATCCCTACAAGGAGCCTGCTTCTGCCTCTGCCTCTGCCTATGTCTCTGCCTCTCTCTCTCTCTCCCATGAATAAATAAAATAAAATCTTTTTTAAAATGTCAATAATAAGTGAAAGTTCGAGATAGTACCCAGAGAAAAATTATTTGTAATATAAAGGAAGAATTATATGCCTATTAAGATATATTATAAAGCCATACTAGTTAATATACTGGTAATAGAACAGGGAAGTAGGGCAATAGAAAAAGTATAATAAAGGCCTAGAAACAGATTCACATACAAAGAAAGAATCTAGTCTAGTGGAGAGTGATATTAGAGAAAGAGGAGATTATTTAGTCAATGGTGTTTGCAAAACTGGATCACTTACATAGGCAAAATTAAGTTAGACCCTCTACTTCATAGAAAATATAAAGTTCATGAGAAATAAATATGTAACTGTGGAAATAAAACTACAAAGACAGTGGAAGAAAATAAGTACAAGCTAGATAAAGAAGAGAAAATTTAATCGATAGTGGAAGGAAAGCACAGAAAAGGTAAAAATGGAAATCAATGAAACAGAAAATAGAAAATAACAGACAAAATGAAACCAAAACCTGGGTCCTTTAGAAAGATCAATTAAATTAATAAATCTCAAAGAACACAGATCAATAAGAGAGAACACAGAAATTATATCAATAACAGGAAAGAAAGAAGGCATCCTTCGGGCGATGAGGATAATAAAAGAACACTGTGGGGAATTTCATGAGGAATTGACTCTAAGCAAATAAAGGAGAATCCTACTAAGTTTTTAAGGAAATTACATTGCCAATGAATCATAATTCCTCCTTGTCTATGGCTTTTGGGCTTCCAAAGCAACTCCAATTTATCAAGTCCCCACCCACAGAAAATAGGCTATAAATGTGGTGAAGCCCCTAAAAAAGGCACTTTCTCCAACATTAACTTTGGATGCGTACACAAAGGATAATGGCAGGAACAACCCAGAGGACAGTCGAGGCCCACAGATAACAATGGACAAAGAGATTCCTCTCATAAAGCTGGACCAGAGTCCAAGCAAATCATTTTCTCCACTTCCAGCTCAAGGAGTCTTCACAACTACCGCACTACGGGATTTGGTAATTGCTATGTACCAGTGACCCCTGTGTGTCTTGCATGCTTCTCTTTTGTGAACATAGGCTTTTTATTATGGTAATCTTATCCCTCTTTTCATTACTAAATTTGGTTGTGGAAGGCGACAGACAACTTAGCAAATAATAAAAAAACAATAAGAATAATAAGAATAATAAGAATTCCCATCCAATCCTGACTGAAAGGACTTTACATTATCCAGATGTCATGAACTTTAAGCTACATGCCCTAGCCATTTTTTTAATTTAATTTATTTTTAAATGTAAATTTAATTAACATATAATGTATTACTGGTTCAGAGGTAGAGGTCAGTGATTCATCATCAGTCTTATATAATGCCCAGTGCTCATTACATCACATGTCTTCCTTAATGCCCATCACCCAGTTACTCCTTCCCTCACCCCCTCCCCTCCATCAACCCTCCTCAGTTTCCCATGATTAAGAATCTCTTACAGTTTGTCTCCCTCTCTGATTTCATCCTGTTTTATATTTTCCTCTCTTCCTCTATAGATCATCTGTTTTGTTTCTTAAATTCCACATATGAGTGAGGTCATAGGATAATTGTCTTTCTCTGATTCACTTATTTCATTTAGCATAATATCTTCTAGTTCATCCACATCATTTCAAATGTCAAGATTTCACTTTTTTTGATGGCTGATCCCTTCCTGATAGGGATCCCAATAAAGACCCTGCACGCCAAAGCCCCATCTCAGTGTTTGCTTCCAGAGAATCCAATCAGGTTGTTTGGGTGCCAAGGCTGATTTTGGAAAGCTTGCAAGACAATGGCTCACTTGTCCCATGGCTGGCAACGAGGACCTTTGTTTCTCAGTTTAGGAGTTAAGGTGGTCTGGTGAAGCCCAGGCTCACCAAAATCTGCTAAATTTCATCTTGTCATTGCTCATACTAACTGGAAAGTTGCCCTTGGCAGTCTGGAGAGGCATTCTCATCTAGTAAAAGGACTTTCTGAATGATTGGATCTTCATCTTTGGAGTGAACCAGGTTTGGCTCACCCAAATTTGAACCCAATACACTTTAATATTTTATAAAAAGCATTTTTGGGTTTACTTGTTTTTTAATTGGCTGTAGGCTTTTGATTTGCTTTGATTTTACTTATTTATGTTCCTGTTTATGCATTTACCTCTGGAAGCAATTTAGTAGGAAAATGATGTTTGTCTTACTGTATTTTACTCACAGTATACATGGCTAAAGAAAGGAGCCACTTTATTTTAGTACCGTATAGATGACTTACCAAGGAATTTTGAAATGAATAAAATTAAAACCATCACTAAACAGAGCCAAATAATGGTCATTGTTCCTCATGCAAACCAACAAATTCAAAATTATCTCCTGGTTTAGATAGTCCTTCCTTCAGCAAAAGCACACAGCAGAAACTAAAAGTTGGGAGCCAATTTAAAGTGTCTGAAAAGATTATTCAAAATCAAAGTCCCAAAACCTCGAAATTCATAACACTTCACAATTAACTGTGGTATAATATTGAGGTAAGAAACAATCCTTTTCATTCCCTAAAAATGAGGCCAGTGAAACAGCCTTCCTGAAACTGAAAGACAGTATAGTGAGTTGAACAGTAGCACCCAAAAGGATATGTTCAAGTCCCGATCCATAGTCCCCATGAATGTGTCTTCATTTGGTAAAAGGGCTTTTGCAGGTATAATTAAGTTAAGGATCTCGAGATGAGATCTTCCTGGATTTAGGGCCCACCTAGAAGAGAAAGGTATTGTCCTAGAAAAAGGAGGGAGAAGTTTGGAGACATGGAGGTGAAGGCCATGTGAAGACTGAGGCAGAGATTGATATGTTGACAAGCCAAAGAACACCAAGAATCGCTAATAGTGATCAGAAGCTGGGAAAGAGGCACGGAACAGATCCTCCTCCAGAGTCTCTAGAGGGAACCACTCCAGAACTGTGAGAGAATAAATTTCTGTTGCTTGAAGACACTCAGTTTGTGGTAACTTGTTACAGTAGCCACAGGAAATTCATACAGATAGTGAGCAGTGACTTACTTTCACGGTGCCATGGGCTCCCCAACACGTGAGCTGAGCTTTGATTTGGGGCAGAGCCAAGTGTACTTTGAAAAGCCTGTGTGTTTATGTAGCAGGGATCATTGAAGAAATCCACTCGACATGTGTGCTTCATTAATGAGGCATCTCGATGGGACTGCACTCCTCTCTCCTGTGCATTACCTGTAATGATTAATGATCAACATATGTCTTACTTTGTAAACAATAAGTAAAATCATGTTGAGTCTAGAACTGATAGGAAAGGAAGAGCCACTCCCCTCCTATACATATTTGAGTACTGACTTCTAGACCTGTAAAAACAAGATACACACCAGGCTTTCAGGGAAAGCACCCTCTCCTTGGCCTCCCAGACCCTCCCCGCCCATCCCTCAGCTGACCTACTGCTTCAACACCAGGTAGGAAACAAACTAGGAAGACCCAAGAGAGGAGCAGCCAGAGAAAAAAAGATAGCCGACTGTCCAGCAAACATCACAAACCCACACATAACACTGCTCAGAGCTGTGGTCCAGGAATCAAGAAAACACATATGTCATACAGAACATGAATATCTATTATTTAAACTGCTTTTTTTTAAAAAAAAAAAAAAAAAGATTTTGTTTGAGAGAGAGATGCAAACAGTGGGGAGGAACAGAGAGGGAGACACACAGCCCAACTTGGGGCTCAATCCTTGACCTGAGTTGAAACCAAGAGTTCAATGCTTAACCCACTGAGCCACTCAGGCACCCTACCTTTTTTTAGCGAGAGCATGTGCATATGGGGCATGAGTGGGCAGGGGAGGTGCAGAGGAAGAGGGAGAGAGAACATCTTAAACAGGCTCCACATCCAGCCCAATGTGGGGCTCAATCTCACCACCCTGAGATTATGACCTGAGCCAAAATCAAGAGTTGGATGCTGAACCAGCTGAGACACTCAGGTGTCCCTAAACTGTTTTTCAAAACCTTATTACTTAAATTATTAAGAATGGAGAGTCTGTCTTCTCTCTATGCCCAAAGTTTTGTTTTGCCAAGCTCAGCCTCTAACCAACTGTTGATGTTTATTCTGGAATTTAATGGAAAGACCTCACCCCTTAGGTTATCACCTTTTTCCCTCTTACCCTGTTCCCTCCTCTTCCATTCTGTTCTATACACTGTGGCCAAAATGATCTTTTTTTTGAAAACCTAGTCATATTTTTCGGCGGCTTAAAAAACTCTTTACTGCCTCCCATTCCTCTTTGGATAAAGCTCAAACTTTTTTTTGTCTTTTTTTAAAGATGTTATTTATTTATTCATGAGAGACACAGAAAGAGAGGCAGAGACATAGGCAGAAGGAGAAGCAGGCTCCCCGTGGGAAGCCCAATGTGGAACTCGATCCCAGGACCTCGGGATCACGCCCTGAGCCAAAGGCTGATGCTCAACCACTAGGCCACACAGGAGGTGTCCCAAAGCTCAAACTTTTCAACAAGCCCCAAGTTCTGGTCCCATCTACCCAGCTTCCCTCGCACCTCCATGTTCCTCAGTCACTTTGCCCTTCTGGAAGAATAATCTCCACTGTAAAGCCATTTTCTCTGATTGCCTACCTCTTCCCACACTCTTCAGGTGTCAGTATAAGCATCTCTTTTCTCAGTAGAGCCTTCTCTGACCTTCTTAGACTACACTAAGTCTCTCTGCTTTGCTAGAAGTTTCTTCTTCGCCTTTGAAGTCCATATCACAAGAAAAATTAATTCTATTATGTCATTTTGTTTTAATGCCATCTAGACTGCATGTTCCATGAATGTAGAGATCTTTTCTCCTAGGACATGCCTGGCACATACTTATGACAACAAAGGGTTACTGAATGGATGGGTAATAGCACCATATTTCAGTACCTGATGTCAGGAAATATTTTGTACCATCCAGATGGTTCTGCCTCAGAATGTCAGGATAGATGGAACATTTATATTTTTGGCTATATGTGCTATCATGAAGCTGCCCTGAAGTAATGACATTCACATTCCATTGTCTTATCATAAAGCATCAGTCAACATCAGTCCTTTTATTGTTTCAGTCATTAAACCCCTTTAATGTGGTCCAAAAAGAACCAACTTTATATCAGATTTCACATCATGATGAATAGTGCTATAATTCTTATAAAATATGGAGACCCAAGGGTACATCAAATAGAAGAAGCCCAGTCAGAAGACTACAGCCTTACTACCTACTCCTTTTCTCTTGGTCTGTCAGCTGTTACACATCACCTGGTCCTCCCTCGTACTCTATATGTGGAATACCCTGAGGGAGGAGTGAGATTTCTAAAGAAGGAGGGGTGGGTCAGGGCATTTCGTTTCTTTGTTGCATTTTACAATATATGACAGTCTCCATTTGTTTGGTTACATGGATCTATGAATATTATCTAGTTTAAACTAAACTTACTTTCATAATGGCTAAGTGGTTAAAGATCACTACAAATAAATCAAAGATTGAAGATCACTTTTTTTGTTACAAAATCTTCCTCAGCTGCATTATGAGCTTATAAACAAGAATGACCTAATTAAATCAGAACATTGGCCTCCCAAAAGTTAAAATGATCAAGATTTGAAATGTGGATTTATGTCTATTTTCTTTATCAAATGCTCTATTGTATTTTGGGATATACATTTAGATATTATCTTGAGATACTGAAACATTATCTAATGATAGTACTCACAGCCACTATAATTAGCAGGACTCCTAACTCTGGGGAACAACAAAGGGTTGCAGAAGGGGAAGTGGGTAGGTGGGTAGGTGACAGGCTTTAAGGAGGGCACATGATGCAATGAGCAATGGGTGTTATACTATATGTTGGCAAATTGCATTTAAATAAAAAAATATGGTTGTGAGGATTAAATGAAAGAATGTGGATGAGACACTAACAGAATAGTGCCTGCTTAATAAATAATTAATATCTGCTCAGTTACCTATTTATTCATTGATGCTGGTGCTCTGCAAATGGTTCTTATCTCCTGCTATCCCTTTCTGTCTGTACCTAACTCCTATTTGTCCTTTAAGATTCTGTTCTGAATCCACCTCCTTCAAGAAGCTTCCCCCTTAGTGCTTCCCTCCCCAAGGCTGGGTCAGGCGCCACTCCATAACATAATATAGGTATGTGTTTACTTGTTCGTCTGTCTTCCCCTTGAGACTGCAAATTCCTCGAGTCCTTAAGAAGAGATTAGAACCCATTTATCTGCATATCTTCTTCATCTTCAATGCCTAGTATGAAGCAGGTGCTCAAAAGAAAAATGTTTGTCAGCTGAATGAACAGATGCTGAATCTGCCTCAGTCTTCCTTTCTCAGCATATTTGACCCTGGTATGTTCGGAGTCAAACTTTAGCACAGGGCACTGACTCATTTGCCCCTTACAGAGAATGGCATGAGGTGACAACATCAGGTTTACCATCCCATAGAATTACACAAAAGCATTAATGCCTGTATCCAGTCTCTCTTGAAAATGACCATTTCTTTTTTCCAAATGCACTATTATATTTAACTCAGTAATGTTGCCTTAAATATGTATTTCGCTCTATACCCAAATTTAAAATCTTTTTTGGGTAAAGTTTGTGGCTGATGAGAGTTTAACCACATATGCCAGCCATTGTGCATTCCAAAATTTATTTTTGCCAAGTATTACTCCGAGAACCGATCCAACCTGTTGAAGAGAGGATTGGTGGCAAAAAACAAATACATAGTGTACATACTGTATATACTGTAAGAACCAAAGTTTTTAAGTGCAAGCCCTTAGGGCTTGTGAGAATTTAATGTCTTTTTGATTAAAAATATCTTATTTCCATTTAACTTGAGGTCAGGAAAACATTATTCTATTTTGCTAATTAATTTTTTCCATAAATGAATTTAAAAGTAGGGATAGAGGGACACTGGGGTGGCTCAGTGGTTGAGCGTCTGCCTTCAGCTCAGGGCATGATGGGATCAAGTCCCACATCGGGCTTCCTACATGGAGCCTGCTTCTCCCTCTGCCTATGTCTCTGTCTCTTTCTCTCTGTGTCTCATGAGTAAATAAAATCTTTAAAAAAAAGAAAGCTTTAAAAAAAAAAGTAGGGATAGGTATCTTTTATACGTCTGGTGATAAATACAATTAACTTCTCCAAAAACCAGAAGACTATTGCAGTATTTATAATATACTGGAATTCAAGTTGTAAGTCAGTATTTGAATAAATAAATGTCTTGGGAGGAAAAAGCCATATCTTATTGAAAATATTTGTATAGGTGTCTCTCAAATGCTCATGTATAAATCTCAAGGAAAAGTCATAAAAATTATGTATTTGCTATTCTGGCAACTGCTATTAATTTGCTCACTGGTCAAGAATTTCAGATCAGTTTTTAAACATATGCCCTAGTAGTCACAGGCAGGCCCCAAGATAGGAATACTTGATTTCTGGGTGTCTGTGAATGAATGGACACCATAGTAGTAAAGTCCTCCCTACAACAATAGGAGTGGCCTTAATTGTTGTTGCTCCTGGAGCAGGGGTTGAGTTCTTCTAACTTATGGTCTTAGTGGCTGAGGTCTAGGGAGATGGCTTCCTAGCATTCTGGATCCTCACTGGAACTTAGAACTGCTTTTCTAAGGAAACAATGTTGTAGCTCTGATTTTCAAGGGAAGAAAGTATCCAGCTGAAGGACTTTTTCCAAACTGCGAATACCATCTCTCACCTCACCAAGATTCTGAAAAGTTCCCAGTTATGAACTGTTACCTTAAGGCCACCACAAGGAAGGTAGCTCTGTACTGGTTTCCAACCCTCTCAAAGTTGGGAGTGCAACTGAAGAACAGGCACTTGCAATAGAAACTTCTATTGTATTTGTCATTCCAAAATATGTATTTAAGCTCTAGTACAGGCAAACCAGAATAGTAGAACATGGTGGACTTGTCTAGGAGATACTCATCATGGCTAAAATTAATTCTGGAATGAACTAAATCTGGAAATATATTCCAGGCTCTCAGTAAAGTCTGTTCATAAGTTTGGATCTGCTTATATTGGCTTAGGACATATATAAACCACAAAAGAATAAAGGGTTACATTGTTTGTTGGATTTGAAGGAGAAATAAAACCAAGATAAACAGAAACAATAAGTTGGATTCTATGACAAGATTACATTTACAAAAAGAAATATCTTGAATAAGACTGAGACAATACCTCTATAACCTCTAGAACCATTAGTTCCTTCACAAATGTATGTTTTGGGGGCTCTTGACAAAAAACTAGGAGACCATGCCCCTTTTCTTCAATGGTAGTGTTGTGATTTAGCATATGGTACATCATTCTAGTAATGTTGATTTTCCTTCAGTGAGTTCCCCTCAGAAGCCATGTGACTGTGCCACATGTCACATGGCTGCCACACAGGCTGTGCCATCAAGACTGTTTAACGGAGGAGGAAGATGAGCTGGGAAGGGAGGTATTTGTTAGGACCAAAAATTCGGGAGTTCTTTGTCTAGGTCCAAGACTCTCTCTGCTGTCCTCTCTATGTGCAGTGATCTAGGATGTGGTCCTGGCACACCAGGAATTCTAGTTTCCATTTATACTTTTCTTCTAGGAGCCTTTGCACTTACCTTTAATTTAATTTGTTTTGGTCATATTACTTAAAGTTAGGTTAAAATTATAAATAACTTTAAATAATGGCATGGAATTTTAATAGCTACCAAAAAGAACCATATTTTTAAAGAATTAACAATACCGTCTGAACCCACTACTTCTGTTATTTTTACATGGTGGAGGAAGGTAGGAATCATAGCTGTACCTAAAATGATAAATTTTTATGTATCTCCCACATATAAGAAATAATAAAATTTGAGGCACCTGGGTGGCTCAGTCAGTTAAGTGTCTGACTCTTGATTTTAGCTCAGGTCATAATATCAGAGTTGTGAGATCGAGTCTTATGTCAAGCTCCATGCTGGGTGGAGCCTGCTTGGGATTCTCTCTCACCCTCTGCCTCTGCCCCCTACCCCCTGCGTGCTCTCTTTCTCTCTTTCTCTGTCTCTCTGTCTCAAAAGAAGTAAATTAAATTAATAGGTTACAATGGCATAATTCCATAAGAAGAATGAAAATATTCTAGGGGTGCCAGAGTGGTTCAGTCAGTTAAGCATCTTCCTTTAGTCCCAGGATCAAATCGTACATCGGGCCTCCTGCTCAGCAGGGAGTCTGCTTCTCCCTCTGCCCCTCGCCCTGCTTGTGCTCTCTCTCATGTTCTTGGGCATGCTCTCTCTCTCTCAGATGGATAGATAAAATCTCTTAATAAATAAATAAGTAAAATATATATATACCCTTAGAAGTGACTTCCTTCTAGGTGCCAAATTCCTGCTAATTTAATTTGAGTCCCTAAGCATGGCTATCCAACTCTATTTCTCCACCATCTTATCAATACCATCCAATTATCTCCCTCTCTAATGCTATAAAACTTTGCTTCCCAAAGAAACATGTACCTTCAACAATTTTAAAAAAATCAAATTACTAACTAGGGCATAACTTTATGACAACGTATGTCCAACCTGGATGGTTGATATTCTACATTTGTGTTGTGGAAAAGTTGTGCCCAACATAAATATCACATGCAGTAATAAGACATTTAATGCCCTAGGAAGTAGGGTAAGTGGAGTAGATGGGCCCCCCTAATTGAGTCTCTTGCATTTCAGATTTCTTTTTGTTTTCTGCTTAAAGATTTTACCTTAATTCTAATGGATCTGACAAGCATTGATTTTCACATTAGCTTAATGTCTGATCTTCTTTGAAGTGGAACTCCCTTGAGTTTTAAGCAGAGAAGCATCTTTCCAGGAAGACCTCTCATGATGTTACAGCAGTGAAAGACCTCATAAGGTAGAATGATAGTGTGGTAGAGCCCACAAGAGTGAGTCAAAGTCATGAGCCTGTCAAGTGACACATGTGTGGCATTCTGGGACTCTCAGAGTGTGGAAAGCCGGCCGCTGAAGCATTATATGTTTGGTTATATAAACCTGACTTCCCCAGGAAGTCTTTAAGAGCCAGGGCCACACACAACCACATGACCTACAAGGAAAAAGGAGAGCGGCAGATGGCGGAGGACAATTGTACCTACCTATTGCCCTGCTTTGTTCTAAACAGTTCTCATACACACTGCTGCACTTGGAGTTTCCAGGCTGCACAAACAACAAATTGTGAAACATTTACAAACATAGTATATATTCATACTTTCAAAAAACAACATTACTGATGCTCCCAGCAGAATACAGCTGACAAATTCACTTTCTGACAGGAACTGAGATTCTGGGTGGGGAGCATAGACTCCTATGGGAGTGCATTATTTGGGGGCTGCAAAGATGGGTCTGGAGCGGGGAGTCATAAAGGCTGCCAACATAAGGCCTATATCCTGAGGGTTGCTGCCTGTGCTTGGGAGGTTCCCCGCCAGGACTCAATCCAAGTCTCAGGCCAGAAAGTGTGATTTCCAGGACACTTTGTATAAATAGTATTTAGCAAACCTCTGTCTAATAGTGACAGATTGGAGCCCTATTCTACTGAGGTTTATGCCAGGCTCATTTTTCAACCTTGACAATCTCATCCATCAGGGGTTGCACTGATACCCTATGGATCTAGATCTAGATCTAGATTGTCTTCAACAGTGGGATGATATCACTGATGCCTTCGAGAAGGGCAATATCTATCCTTCAGAAAGACTGATCTGGAAGTACCATGCAGAATGGTTTGGGGGAATGAAACTGGAGACAAGGAAGGAGTTTTCAGAATCATCTGGGCAAGTAAAGACCAGAGCTCAGAAAGGTGCAACAGGAATATGAGAGGTGGGATAGATTCAAAGGATTTCATGGCAGAATTCTAGGTCTTGAAGACTGAGTTGATGTGGAGCCCAAAGTGAGAAAAGCAAAAGACTGCAGATTAATGAAAGAAGAGCAGTACTATTAATGAACATGAGTAAATCTGTAGAGGAATCTGATTTGGAATCAAGGAGAAAATGCTGATTTTAATCTTAACATAAGCAATGTAATGTCTATCGCATTATAGCTGGAGAGATAGGTAGTAATTGAAAACAAAGAAGCTGGAACAATGTGTATACAGGTGGCATGCCAGAGGAGAAACCAAGGTCGAGGCCAAACACAGAGAAAGGGTGGTAAGGGCAAGGGCTTGGATTTGTAGGTGAGTGGAAGAAAATAAGGTCTAACAAGAAAAGATGTGATAGTATTATCAACAATAGCCAAGCTATGGAGAAAACCCAAAAGTCCATTGACTGATGAACGGATAAAGAAGATATGGTATGTGTGTATACACACACACACACACACACACACACACACACACACATACACAATGGAATATTACTCAGCCATCGAAAAGAAATCTTGCCATTTGCAATAATGTGGACAGAGCTAAAGTGTATTATGTCAAGTGAAATAAGTCAGTGAGAGAAAGACAAATACCATATGATCTCACATGTGGAATTTGAGAAAGAAATCAGATGAATATATGGGGGGGGGAAAGAGGGAAATAAGCAATAAGCCATAAGTGACTCTTAATGACAGAGAACACACTGAAGGTGGATGGAGGGGAGTGGGTGGGGGATGGGCTAGACAGATGATGGGTATTAAGGAAGGCACTTGTTGTGAGGAGCACTGGGTGTTGTTGTACGTAAGTGCTGGATCACTGAATTCTAGTCCAGAAACCAATTTTACACTCTATGTTAACTAACAAAATTTAAATTAAAAAAAGATGTAACTTACTTTGAAACATACCAAAATTAAGACGTGCTGATGGATGATAGCTATATAGGATGACAGGGCAAACCTGGTGAAATGTTAAATGTAGTTAATCGTAGACTCTAGGCAGTGAGTGTATGAGTGTTCAATGTATAACTCTTACATAACTTTTCTGCATGTTTGAAAAAATTGATAATAAAATGTTGGACAAAGGTTTCAAAAGCTGCAAAAGAGATGGGGGATAAGAATGACACAGTAGAAGTGCTTTAGAAGATAATAGAAGAGGTCTACAAAAAGGAAGGGGCAGCCTACAGGTATCAAATTCTATAGACAGATTCAGAATATTGATGAAGAAAATTGATTTAAACCATCAGTGACCAAAAAAACCATTGGTGACCACTGTAAAAGTGATTCCCATCAAGTTGTCAAGCAGAATTCAGATCTTCGAAATATAGTGCTGATGTGAAACCTGGGATAGAGACAATGTTTTCTAGTTTATGGGTAAAAAAGGAAGATGAGAAGGAGACAAGACATTATGAGCTGGTTGGAGGAATCCAAATTTATTAGCAGATGGAAGAGAGATAACCAGTAGACAAAGAGAAAATAAAGACTGAGACAGGGGTTGATGCAACAGAACAAAGGCAGAGGGTTGAAAGGAGGAGAGGGTATCAGGAGGTCAGGGGAAGGATCAGCTGTGGAGGCCGTAGCTAAGGATGAGCAGCAAGGAGAACATAGGAAGACTGGAGATGGAGAAGGGTGATGTTAAAAATAACATGCTGGACTTCCTAGTGAAGGGAGATGTGAAGTCATCCACATCGGCCAAAGTTGGGGGATTCAGAGCAAAAATGATCTAGTGCAGGCTCCAACAATGATTCATTCTCTGGCTCTGTATTGAGGAAGATGATACTTTCTCTAAACTAGTGCTTGAAAACTCTCAAATTAAACTCTCTAGTGACAAGGACAGAATCACATTGCTAAGTTCCGGTAACAATAAAACATGACTTACCAAATAGCACAACTTTTCACACCGTATGGGGCAGTAAGCCATTTGTTCTGTGGCTTGGACTTTGATCCGCACATCTGAAACACCACCTGCAGGTGGCTGCTTCCCTGGGATTTCATTGTAATACTCATGATCTTCTCGCTCCTCAGCATGATCATCAATAGGCACCCCCTCACTGTAAGGGAAAAAAGAATCCCCAAGAGGCTGGGCGGGAATTCAAATGCTGTAGGGGAGGCAGAGGGATCAGAACCATGCAAATCATCTGAAAAACTTTGCATTCATGTTTTAAGTTTATAGCTGTTCTTAAGTGATGTCAAACATCTGGATGGAAGCAACCAGATGGTTGAGTTGTTTAGCTTTCCATAGACAATTAAAGTAGGGTAAGCCAACAAAAAGTGCCAAGGGTGATGCTTTTGTGTCTCCTCCCAGTGATTAAGAAACACACATACACACACAAACACACATATGAACTCTGAATGTAAGTCATTTTTGCCAGTGGAGCATAAAAATAAAGTTTTCCTGAGTATCTTCAGCACACTTTGTACCATTTTGGAAATATTCTCCTAAAAAAAATTCTAGATATTGGGCAGAGGGCCTAGTCCAGTTTATTAAACCAAGATGAGAAAAATAAGAGAGCTATGGCCAGTTATCTTGTCTGCACAAATCTGGAGGAGTATATGGGATTCATAAAGAAATATTAGAACCATATGTGGCAATTGGGTAGATTTATGTAAACATGCATTGTTTTAAAAATTGAAACAGGACAAAAAAAAAAACAAACAACTTTTCTTCCAAATTGGAATTAGTAAAAGTTTCTTATGAAAAAAAAAAAAATCAAGTCCTTTTGGACTGAACTGATTCCACTAACAACCCACACAGTCTTGTTGGGTTCATTACATGTCAACAAAATGACAGCACTAAGATATTGAGTGTTACCCTGGGAAAAATTCAACATCAAGGCCTCCTAAGAACCCCCTCCTTTGTTACCCCAGACCACCTTATAAAGGGTGTTGGCTGATACACAACATAACTAATTGGGGGAGGAGTATATTTAAAATTAAACAAGATTGAGTTTTGTCCCTTGGGTGTGAGAGACCTCACTGCACTCCACACATGCTGAAGTCTGTCAGGCCTAAAGGGCTTGGCTTTCCTTGCAGAGTTTCTGTGCCTCAGATAGAACAACCAGATCCTTGGGTCACATCACCTTTCAACCCTCCCACCGTTTAGCTGGAGCTCATCTATTTACACTGCAAACCAGCAAACTAATGGTGATTCTTGTTACAGACATTTGATTCTTACTATTTTGTTCTTCATTCTTGATTTTTTCTTTTCTTTTTTTAGTTGCAAGAGATCTGGGATTGGAATGATTCTGAGAAATGTATTGATGTCTGTTATTTTATGATAATAGTTCATTAAGTCGTAGCTCTCTATATCAGAGAAACAGGGCATATTCCTGTTTCTCTGATACAAAGCAAGAGGAAATATCTGGATAAATATAAATGGAAGAAGAATAGAAAATGACATTATTAGTTTGTACTGAAACTGCCTATTTGTAAGAAAAAAATATTAATTTCATTAGTTTGAAAATTCACTTTAAAATAAAACAAAACAAATATAGTAAGTCAAATAATTATAGAACTCTTGGCTGACCTTTCACAAGAAGTATTCAAAGAAGGATTTTTCAAATACTGTTTAAACCGGAGTTCAAAAGCCTGCCCTATGGTGCTTATGACATCTTGGGCCATTCCACTGCGGCACTCCAATATATGGCAGGCTGCAAGAGAACATACCAAAACAAAAACAAAAACAACAAAACACCTGTAATAAGTTGTCAACAAGGAAAGGTTTTATATAAAGTCAAAATCATTCCACAACACAAACTTTTAATTGAGTGAATCGGAGCAGGTTTACAAGTTCTTTTCAGTTCTGAAGTAGTGGAAAAGAATACCTCATTTTTCATATGGATCAAAGAGAAGAAACAGTCATATTTTACATTTAAATATCGCAAAAAAATTGACAAATTCTGGTCTCCAGACAGGTATTTTTGGGCCTCCATTTTTTATAAAACTAGAGTGATCTTAATCATGTGACTTGTATTCAATGTTAGCTCTAGAATTCGGTATAAAAGATGCTTAGGGCAGCAATCTGACAGGAAGATAAGGGCCATGCTGTCGTCTTTGCATGGTATTTTGTCTTTGCAAAAATATAACTTTCCAAATCTCCCCCATACCCTGCTCCCCTCAAAGTGAGGGATGAGCTGCTGGTGAAGATAGGAGCTTATAATACCCCTTTGCCCTGTCATTGCCACTAGAAAGTAGTGATGGTGTGGTAATCCCTGTCTTCAAAATTCTACTAAAGTACTATCTCCATCAAGCATCAAAAACAAGATTTAAAAAAACAACAACAACAAGATTTTGTGACGATGACATGACCAGAAGATATTAAAATTTTTATTAGATAATTTCTCTGAGAAGCAGCTACTGAGAAGGGGGGAGTGTGCACATGTAATTTAAATAAATAAATTATGAAGGGTGCAGCTGATGGAATACCACAAATGAGCAAATCTGCTGCTGCTGCATAAAAACAGGAGCTTCTGTTCAGGGACTATAAATTCACCTCCCACCAGATGGAATACCATTCTTGCTTTGGTGGGATATGGGGTCTTGCTTAGAGCCTTGCAACATGGCAATTTATTTAAATGGAAGTTTCATAAGGATGGCTTAGAAAGAGCCCTGAGCATAATTTTTATTTGGAGGCAATAAGTCCCATGAGAAATAACATTTTTCAAAAATATATTGGTTTGTGTAGCCTGAAGAATGGAGGGATGAGAAAAAGCTGATAACAGTTAAATATATGCAATAATGTTGCAAAAATTGTTAGCTATTCTCTAAGAACAGAAAGGCTTAAGCAAGTGCATGAGGAATTAGAGTAGATGCCGAGAATGCTTCATGTATCTTGGGAACTGTGTGCGAAACCAACAGAAGGACACATTACTAAAAGGGACACCTAAAGAGAGAAGAGCTGTCTTTATAGCATGATTCAACTGTGCTGACTTGGAAGCATGATTTCACACTTGCATTCTCTTGGAAAGGATTCTATATCTATTTAAAGCAGAAGGCAATTCGTTTACATCTGATAGAATTTGCAAAGCCTATACCAGTACATAATAGTAGAACCTACAAGTGTTTCTTCTCTTAGCCTTCTATTAATAATTATCTCTAGGAATCTCAGACAATTCTTATTCCAGAACTAACTTGACTTTCATTTAAAGGATTTAGATGAAGGAGCACCTTGGTGGTGCAGTACGTCAGGTCGTGATCTTGGGGTCATGAGATCAAGCCCCGTGTCAAGCCCCCAGGTCGGTCTCCAAGGTGAGCTCAAGTCTGCTTGGGATTCTCTCTCCCTCTCCCCTTTCTACTTGTGCTCCCTCTCTAAAATAAATAAATAAATCTGTAAAAAAAATAAAATAAAATAAAAGATTTAAATTAAATTTTTAGAAGGCATGTGTTTATATGTGCCTGTGTGTGGGGGAGGAATTATTAAATCAAACAATGCCAAGGTGTCAAACCTCTAGAATTATCATTACCATCTCTTATAAGATTGTCCCTTTAAAGAAGTGACTTGGATCCTAATATAGACTTAGGAGCTAATTCTAGCTTCAAAACTTAATTAAGAATGCCTATAAATATATATCCTTTCTACCAAAGAAAAATGATCGATCTATCTTTAGGCTGTCATTTTAAATTGCTCTTTCTTTTTCTCTGCAGTAGCTTCGCACATGACCAACACATAGAAGGTGTTTTAAAAATTGTGTTGAATAAATCCATATTGATTTTCCTGAATTGCATCAATAATTCTAGTGTGAGAAGTTGTCTTCAATCGCATTGAAATGGCACCTGCAGTGGACCCCTAGTGAGGCAGGTTCTTCCAGCCATTGAGTGGTACGAATCACTGCTTGGTTTGCTCTTGGAGATATCCTTAAACCTACAAAGTGCCCTTGGAAAGTGCCCTCCAGTTGAGCCAAGAGAAGTCGTATTACCTTATGATAAGAAAAGGCAATTCACTTGAATTCTTTTGTTTTTCATCTCATAAATTTCTGGGTCAATTAAAAATAAAGTCAAGATCAGAAATCATAAAAGGATACAGGAAATTATTTTTTAAATTTAAATTTTTCTTACGTTCAAGAAGAGGTCTAGAGCTAAAGATAGGGAAGATAATGAGAGAGGCAGGAAATTCAAATATTTGCACATACATATACACACCCGAAGGAAAATGAAAATGTATCTCCCTTTGAAGGGATGAGAAAACAAGAACACTTAAAAGAACTCCATGGAAAGATCCAGATTCAAGTTCAAATTCCAATTATGCCACAATCTGCATGATCCCAAACAAATCACTTTTCAGAAATACCCTCATCTGCCAAGACAGAGCACAGGTGATGTTTGAAGTCCCTTATTGCTTTATAGAAATCCTGACCTCCCTCTTTCACAGCAGCTTACACCTTCTGAGGAACAGTCATGTGGGCTCTTGTGGCATGTGGGTACTCAGGAAGGAAAGGAAACACCAAATCCACCAAACATCCTCTACCACTTCTCACATACTTTTAAAATGGTTTTACTTGTCTCAATTCTTCTGATTCTGATACTTTGAGGATTTGGTCCTGTTCTTGGGCTGATGCCACCAACATGTTCTGCTTTGCTTTGGATAACCTCATCAATGCCATATTACTTTTTTGAGAAGATTAATAGAAAACAAACAGTGGTGCCATCACCATGAAAGGATGACACTGGACGAAATGGTTGACCCTGTGCAATATTCTGCGCAGCCTCACTACTTTCAGCGAACACACATAGTGCTGTTGTTGCTACTCATAGTATGCTACTCTGTAAAAAACTGTCTTTTTGAGGTTGGTCATGGGCCAGACGGGCTCTGAATCACATACAAATGTGCCCACTTCCCAGTATTAGGCTCATCTCCAAAGGTCTGGATAAGCAGCTAGGTTGGCCAAGAACTGATCAATCTTTAGCTAACAGGAAGAATGAAAGACAAGTATATGGAAAGTCCCAATTGCCAAAAAATAATGTAACTTTCCAATGATATGATAACTTGGCATGGAGGCCTGAGATGGAATCAGATGCAAAACAGGTTCTTTTCATTTCACCTGTAGCCAGATAGACCCACAACTCTACCTTTGGGTATCAAGTATCATATTAAGGAGGATTTTTTAAAGTCTTAGATTCATATTCTTCAGCCTTTTTCATTTGGTTTCCTAATTGGATATTCATGAACAAATGGCTGAGAACTATTCTTAGAGGATAATGGGCCCTTCCCTACTAGTTTTATATTTATTTTTAATAGACCAGGGGTATTTTTTAGATCAGGTTTGGTTTTTGGTTTTTTTAATAAACTAGAAATTCAAAAGTGCAGCTTCTCAGGTCAACCACCAGATGGTGATGGGGTACTGAGCAAGGAGTCCTCCATGCCCAGGAAGAAACCAGACCAAAGAAGCAAGCTTCCAGTCAGACCAGAGTTAACCCAGGGCAATCGTGCATATAGTTTATAACCATAACCATAAATACAACTAAATAGGTTAATTGACATTGTTTTTACAGTCTTTAAAAAAATTTTTTTTTAGCTTTCTTCAGAGACTGAGAACCATGGCCATCCTCTACCCAGGTAAACTGGGGCCTTCTTTCACGAAATCTTAGACTCAGAGAAAATCTGTAAACCTTCCTGGATGATGACATATTTGGAATAAGAGGTGAAGAGAATATGGATTTCCTATTTACAGCAATTACAGGGGCAAGCCGTATTAGTCACTAAGTAAACTGAAAATGTTCTTAGAGAAACTTAGTTTTTCTACAGAAAAGGCCTTTTATAAAATGAGGAGTTCACTCAAGGGTCCTAGCCAAGATGGGAAAAAGTGACAACTGCCCTGCCTTGAATAGACTAATGCTGGAAAAAAAAAAAAAAGTGAATCATGCAAATGGGAGACAGTGGGAACATTCAGGATTCTCAGCATGGAGCCCGGGTTTCCTCAGTCAGCTAGGCTCTTCCTCATCCCTGAGGTCTGACTCTGTTAACTGCCCACTCAAAGGCTTTTTCCACCTTCACTCCCCCTAACTCCTTTTCAATGTGTGACATTCTGTGCTGTCTTATTCTGGGATGACTTCTCTCCCCTAGAAGTTTGCTCTTCCTCCTTCTTAGATGATACTCATCTCCTGGTTTTCTCTCCTCCTCGTTCCCACTCATCTGGCTCTTTGCTGTCCCCTCTGACTTCTTCTACTCCCTGAGGCCCTCAGCCCTCTTCTTTGCAAGCTCCTCCTTGGGTGATCTTGCTTACTCTTAGGGTTATGAAGTTGCAGTTTTTCCAAACCTGCACCTGAAGGCCTGGTCCCTGTTTCTTTGTCTGTCTCTCCCACCCCCACACTCCCATCCCCCATAACAGTAACACCCTCCCTATATCCTCCTGCCTGCTAAACATTTTCCCCAGATGAACAAAACTCACTAGGTAATTCTGTAACATCTTTCTGGTTTCACTATTTTCTTTACTTATTCAAGGATTTAGAACATATTTTCTTTTTACAAACATAACAAATATTCACTACAGGAGTTTTAGAAAACTAAAAAGGCACCAAAAAAATTATGCAAGTCTCCCTACCTAAAGATAACTGCTATTAATATTTTTGGCATCTTTTTCTTTCCAATATTTTTTTTATACCTCCAAAAAATTACCTGGGGTCATATTATACACATTGTTTCACAATCTACTTTTTTGCACTTCATAACATTGTCAACATTTCCCCCATGTCATTATTTATTCTTCTATAGCACTAGCTTTATTTTTTTAAAGATTTTATTTATTTATTCATGAGAGACACACAGAGAGAGAGGCAGAGGGAAAAGCAGAGGGAGAAGCAGGCTCTCCATGCAGGGAGCCGAACATGGGGACTCGATTCCGGGACTCCAGGATCACACCCTGGGCCGAAGGCAGCGCTAAACCGCTGAGCCACTTGGGCTGCCCTCTAACACTAGCTTTATATCAAAGCATAGTAGTACATTCTATAGATTCATTTACACAATTTGCTATTCATGAATATTGAATCAATTGTATTTTTTCTATTATATAAATATTATATGACAATGATCTTTATTGCTTAATCTTTGTGCATGTCCTAATTATTTCATTAGAAGTTAAACTGCTGGTTCAATTTACCTTTTTAAGGCTTTGGCTGCAAATTGTCAATTTGCTTTCCAAAACATTTGGATCCACACTCCTACCAACATCGTTAAGAATAAACTACTTTAAACCCCATTTTACCTGTCTTCAATATTTGGAATTTGAAGATGAAATGTGCTACCTATTTATAATTTAATTGCTAACAAGGTAGCTAGTAAACTCGCAAAATTTTTAAATGTTTCTTCATGCCTTGTGATGTTCTTTTGTAAAGGTATGCTGAGGACCTGGGGGCTGATTCACTTGTTTATTAGCTGGCTGAGCTTAGGAAAACAATCTCACTTTTTTCAATGCCAGTGTTTGCTTTTATAATAAAAGAATAAATTAATACCAACCTCAGTTGCTGTAAGGATGAAATGACAAAATGCCTGCCATATGGTGAGCACGCAATAAATGGTAGATTCCCCCTTTCCCCTGTTTCTCTAGTGGATTGTCTTTTTCCAATGTATAATAATCCCTGTTTCTTTAATTGCAATACTATTCCAAATCACACAGGGTACTAATAATGATAATAACAATAATAAGCTTTCATTTATTATATACTTACTATGAGACACATATTGAGATATTTGCATCGTATATAATTTCACATTAAGTCCTCAGGAACATCTGGTTTCTATTTCTTCAACAACCTTCATATCTAAATTGTTGCCAAGTTCCATTAGTTCACAGATTTGTCCAAACTTTTCCTTCCTCCCCACAATATAATCTAAACCGTACCACTCCTGCCTAGGACTAATGAGATGTCCTCCAAATTGGACTCTACAATTCCAGACTATTTTCTGTGCTCCAGTATCACTTTCACAGATACAAATCCCAGAAAAATAATCATTCTGCAATTTCAGTAAAATGGCAGAAGTCAGAATAGTTGTTATAAAGCTCAAAATCTTCCATGGCTCCCAATGACCTTTTGGTCACCATTCAAAGCCCTCTACAATTTGTTTCTAGCTGATCTTTTTTGCTATGGCTCCCCTACTTCTATTCCTTCTGTTCTCTGGCAACCCCACCCTCACACACACTCACACACCTCCCAAACATATGACCCTAAGCTCTCATCACAGGGTTCTTTCCCCTGGGCCTGTGTTCAATTCTCCCATAGATCCTGATGGAGCACCTGCGATGTCCCACATGCTGCTGTTCAAACACCCTTTTCCATGACATCCTACATGCTGTGTGTTTCTCTCTCCCACTAAATGAGGAGTCCAGATTGGCCAGGAATTATTTTGCTTCCACAATAATTAGCTCAGCCCCTTCTGTATTAGTATGGAATTAATAATTATTTGCAGGCTCAAAAGCTGTATCAGCACCTCTGTGTACAAACCAAAGTCCAGGGGCTCAGGCGAGGAGAAAGGATTTGACACTAGATGGTTGTGCAAGCCAGGGCTATGATGACAATAAAATGGCTTCTCACAGAAGTTTCTATAACCAAGTAAATAAGAAAGGGGAGGAGAGGGACGCCTGGGTGGCTTAGTGGTTGAGCACCTGCCTTTGGCCCAGGGCATGATCCTGGAGTACTGGGATCAAGTCCCACATTGGGCTCCCAGCATGGAGCCTGCTTCTCTCTCTGCCTATGTCTCTGCCTCTCTCTGTGTGTGTCTCTCATGAATAAATAAATAAACTCTTTTGAAAAAAGAAAGGGAAGGAAGAGGGGCGCCTGGGTGGTGACTCAGTGGTTGAGCATCTGCCTTTGGCTCAGGTTGTGATCCTGGGGTTCTGGGATTGAGTCCTGCATCGGTCTCCTCACAGGGAGCCTGCTTCTCCCTCTGCCTATGTCTCTGCCTCTCTCTGTGTGTCTCTCATGAATAAATAAAATCTTTTTTAAAAAAAGAAGAAGAAAGGGAAAGAGGAAACTGGAAACGGAGCAATAAGGATGAGGAGATGCTAACTTTTTAATCCAAAAAATTACCCTATTTTTTAAAGATTTATTTATTTATTCTAGAAAGAGTGCACAGGGGGAGGAGCAGAGAGAGAGAGAGAGAGAGAGAAACCTCTAGCAGACTCCCTGCCGAGCATGCCCCGCCCCCCAGGTAGAGCTTGATCTCAAGACCCTGAGATCATGACCCTTAGATCATGTCCTGGGCTAAAATCAAGAGTCAGATGCTTTAACAGACTGAGCCACCCAGATGCCAGCAAAGTTACCTTATGTTTCTAAGTCATCTATTTTTGAGGCAGACCCATTATCCCAGAGAAGCAAGCAAGCAATGGACATCAATCTTTGAACTCCTCACCACTGTGTTGACTGAAGAGCAATGACCTGCCTGAGCTATTCAGTGACTGATGACAAAGTTACCAAACATCTAGACTTCCCGATCTATTTGTACTTCCTTTCACCTTTTCCTTTCAGGTTAAAAGGCTTTGTTGTTCAGAGGCCTTACCCAAAATAGCATGCAGTTATTCTTTCAGGAAACACAGGCTTAATTAAAAGAGGTTGTTCTTTTCTAGTATCTTTTCTTGTCTTCCATTCCTAAACCCTTATTCCCCTTCACTAGTTCCTGTCTCTCCTACTCATCTTTGATGGTTATCCATTCTTCATTATACAGTTTACAGTGAGTCCCTTTCAATGGAGTATTACTTAGTTCTTGTCACCTGTTTCTTCTTTTCCATCTCACAGAACCATGTTCTTTTGGCATTCGCTGAACATCTACTACATCCCAAGTCCTTTGTTAGCAGCTGGTCCTCATCATTTCCTTTTTGACCATCATAATGGCTTTCAAACAGATCTCTCTGCCTTAAGGTTCTCTCTGAATCCATCCTATTCCTAAATCAATCTTCCTGAAGCTCTGCTTTGTAAACAGCATTCTCCATCCATTTGCTCAAAGATTAAGTCCTTATTTATCAGTTCTATCCTATCTGTCCTCTGCATGTCTTTATAGCTCTTTGAATTTCCAAATTCTACTTCACATGTACCTAATAAATGTGTTGGGGCAAACTCTATCCCTGGGGTGGAGAAGATGTTGCCCTAATAAGTTTCTAGTTAAGGAGAAGAAGCAACCTGAGACTCATCCCTAAGAGGAGTCTAAATGTCCCAGAATCAGGGATGAGAAGCAACACAAACCATGTCTGTCTAAGGAGGTCCAATGACCTAAGAAACTTCAGGCCTTTATCCCAAAGTTTCACTGGGAGATGAGTTTACTTAGGCAACCTTGCTAAATCTTGAGATAGGAAATCCAACCAACTGACCCTTCCATTTATTGAGACACTCAACAAAAATACTTATTTTTGTTGCAACACCTATGTGCCTGGCTTTTTGATGGGTGTTTTGGAAACAACAGTGAATAAGGTAAACAGGTTCCTGCCCTCAGGGAGCTTTCAATAGGAAGGACAGACATTAAACATATCAACAAATGAGAGAATAAAATAATAAAAATGTGGGCTAAGTGCTAATAAGAAGAGATATAAAGTATGATGCAGCAGGTTGGGATATGCTCCTGGAGATAGGAGGTGGTATCATTCAAAGAAGTCTCTCTGAAGAAGTGACATTTAAACTAAGATCCAAAAATGAGAAGAAGACAAACACTCAAAGTAACATGCCAGACTCTTTGAACAACCGCACAGGTTCAACACACAAATGTGTTGAACACAAACACACACATACACACCAAGGCTGAGACCAATGCAGGCCAATAATCTCACTGGCTTGGGTCTTCTGTGTAATTCAATCATCCACTGGAGATGAGGCAGCCAGCTGCAGTATAACCAAAACAACTTCTCTTTTTATTATACAAATAGATAATAAGCTTTTCGTATAAGGATCCCTCAAATGACTGGGATTTAAATCCCAACTGTATATTTATTTCTACTTCATTCTGCTAGCAGGGCTATTTATTTCCAACTCAAATTCACATAATATTTCTAGAACCCAGTATAGCACTCTAGTGATCCTCATCACTCTGTATATTGAAAAGAACTATTTGTTACTTTTTAAAGGTGGTATAAATCAGCTCTTAAGAAAATCTAGAAGTTGCTTTCCATACCTCGTTGATTAACTGGATCTTTAGCTACGTAGGCAACATAGTCTGTAGTATCCTACAAAAGAGGGAAAATGATTGCATTTAAAATGAATGGATTGTACTGTTGAAAGATAAGAGTACATTTAGGACATGTAATGAGATGAGGACTTAAATACAAATGTTTCTGCCTAAAGAGAATAGAAAAGCATGCTAGGAGAGAACATAAATACACACTGCATAGCTTGGCCAATACGGAGTCCACATCCTCTGCCCCTTGGAGAGAGAAGTTGAAAATTTAAAATTTAGAGGCAGATTTAGTGATACTTATTCACTAAGAATAAAAAAGAATCCAGATAGGGAATATGTTAAGATATACGTTCTTTTTTTAAAATTTTACTTAACTCTAATTAATTAACATATAATGTAATTGTTTCAGAGGCAGATGTCAGTGACTCATCAGTTTTATATAACACCCAGTGCTCATTACATCACGTGCCCTCCTTAATGTCCATCACCCATATACATATCCAGCTGTACAGTGGAAAGGAAACAAACAAATAGTAGAGACAAATATATATAATATAATTCCTTGGCTTTATGAATGGAATGGTAAAGTTGAGTTAGCAGCAGGGCCAGATTCATGGGCATGTGACCTGTGTAGTCACACAGGGTCCTGTACTTAGAAAGACCCATGCTTGGTTTAATACTATGCTATTACTGTCTTTTAAAAAAAATTTATTTAAATCCAATTAATTAACATATAATGTATTATTGGTTTCAGAGGTAGAGAGGTCAGTGATTCATCAGTCTTATAACACCCAGTGCTCATTACATCACCTGCCCTCCTTAATGTCAATCATCCAGTTAACCCATCCCCCCACTCCCCACCCCTCCAGCAACCCTCAGTTTGTTTCCTATGATTGAGTCTCTTATGGTTTGTCTCCCTCTCTGATTTCATCCTGTTTTATATTTTCCTCTATGATCCTCTGTTTTTTCCCTTAAATTCCACATATAATTTGAGGTCATAGGATAATTGTCTTTCTCTGATTGACTTATTTCACTTAGCATAATATCCTCTAGTTCTATCCATGTCATTGCAAATGACAATATTTCATTTTTTTGTGGCTGAGTAATATTCCAGTGTGTGTGGGTGTGGGTGTGTGTGTATGTGTATGTCTGTGTGTGTGTATATATATATATATATAACATCTTCTTTATCTATTCATCTGTTGATAGACATCTGGGTTCTTCCCATAGTTTGGCTATTGTGGACATTGCTGCTATGAACATTGGGATGCAGTTGCCCCTTCGGATCACTACATGTATATCTTTAGTGTAAATATCCAGTAGTGCAATTTCTGAGTTGTAGGACATACATTCTTAAAAAATGGTTAGGGAGCATGACTGTCTCCCGTGTTGAAAGGTGAAATACCAGAGGTTATGCCATTATAAAAAAAGGCATAAACTAGGAGGGGTGCCATGATTTCCCAGTTGTCCAAAGAGACACCATGTATGTCAGAAAATAAGTCAATTACACAGACATATTGGGTTCTGTGGTTGTTAGTTTGCTTTTGTGTAGTGCGAGTTAACTTAAATAACAAAGCAAAAATATAAAACATTTATATGATCAATATCTAGAGAGGAAAAATCATTTTTGAAAAAGAGAGCCCACAAAAAATCTAAGGAGTTCAAAAAGATGTGTTGCAGACTTTGTAAAAACAAACAGAAAGCTACTTGGTAATTCTGACTCTTACTGAAAACAGTAAACTGATGAGTGATAAGATTTTAATAATTAAAGATGCTTTTTGTTATCTCAGTTCTCAGGGAAAAAAAAAATACACACAATGCCATTTGCAGATTAGAAGTACGACTCTCCAGAGGGAAGATGCAATCAACTGGCAGGAAATAAAAGCCTGCGTGTAATACCCTCAAGGACAATCACTTAATAACCCACAGTGAAACACGCAGGAAGCAGATCTCAGGGTCAGCATAACTTGTCTTCAGTTATTTTAAAAAATAACAAACACCTAAACAAATTTATCTTATGATAAAAGATAAAAGGGTTGAAACATCTTGTAAATAAATAAGGTCATATCTATGAGCTTTGTTTTATATGAATGTAGAAGTAAAGCCACAAGTGCTGGGGGCGTGGCTGCTATTTATAAAGTTGAAGAGATGGTAGGATGCCAGCAACACTCTCGGATGCATTAGATGATGGGAAAGAGGTTGTGGGACCTCATCCTCAAAACATTATCTAACAGTCTTATAGTTATAAAATTCTATTAACTGTAAATATCTAGAAGAATCTAAAGAATGTTAAATGGCACAAATAGTGGAAAAAATACAAGAAAATATATTTGTGACATACTTCTAGGGCACTTTTAAAAAGGAGAAAGTATATATAGATACAGAAGCATTACCAAGAACTATCTTCAGGGCTGACTGGAGGAAGACAAGTAAATTATCTTTGACAAAAGAGTAAAGGTAAGAATGAGCAAAGATCAAGAGGTAAGGAAGAGTAGCCAGTATTTCTTAAACTTGGGGGAGAAATCCAGTTGAAAGAAAGGTATTACTTTGGGCCATGGAGACTTTTAGCATCTTGCAGCCAGTTAGTTGTGAAGTTGTAAATTATCTCAGTGAGTATCCTAAAAAAAAAAAAAAAAAAAGCTATGTGCTAGCAATAATGCGATAGCTATCTCCCATCACACTGCTAGGCATGGTGCTAGCAGGTTAGGTGCATCAATTCACATAATTCTCACAATGCTTTAAGGCAAGGATGATCATAGATGAGGACCCTAAAGCCGGGAGAGGTTAAATAAGTCAAGTCTCCCTGACTCCAAAGCCTGGCACTTCACTTGGGGGACCCTGAATGCCAAACCTTGTGGTCACTCCAGTTTTCTGTTTTAAATTTGAAGAGCGGACTTTTGCCCCAGCTACAGATAACACAGGGGTCCCACTCAAATCTATGTACAAACTTCCCCACAGCATTACAAATTCTTTACCATTTGTTTTTGGTAAAGGCAGTTCTTTGGTGGGTTGAAAGTACTAAAGAACTAAAGGTATGTCATGATGATCTAAAAAGAATTAGGATTCTGGAGAACTATGATAGACATCATGTAGGGCTTGCCTAGGGTAAACGATGATTTGCGTATCAATGCTGAAATGACAGCAACCCTTGAAACCTGAAGCAGAAATTTAGGGCAAACATCTATAATTATTTTTAACACTTCGCTTAGAGAACTCATTACTTTAAATAGCTTAAGGAAAGTATTTGAGTTCCTTTAGTGGATGACTGAGCTATAATGGGTTAGGAAGAGAAGAGACAATGCTGGCCTTTTCAGGCTGGATTCAGCAAACCCTCTTTGCTACCAAACATATCCCTTTTTGTCATTGTCAAGGCCAGATTTCAAGGCTGGATGGATGGGAGTTCAGGTTCAGTACTGGACCCCCATTGCCACTGCTACTTGCTAGGCACCTTGCATGTCCCCTATTTGTACTGAATCCACAATTAGGCATCTGTGGAATCTCTTGAGGAAGAAGTAGAGCTCTTAAAATTTGGTTTACATGTTAATTAAATGGTACCACCATGGAACTAATATATTCATTTGAAAATAATTATGCCCCAGATTGAAATATAAGGAAATAGAGAAGCCCAAAGGGAAAATTAAGTATCCACTAATAAAAAAAAACAAACAATGATTTGAAGTCCTATAAATACTGCTTTTCTTCCATATGCTTCAAATAAGTTCTAAAGACAGGGTGTTTAGGTTTGACATGCTTGAATATTTTGAGTCACTGGTAGCCAATGTGAAGACAAGTTATTATCCAAATGTTTTAAAGAATAGGGTAATTAAATGGTATTTAAGTATATATTTCAGACATAAAAAAGTTACATCAACAATCAAGTGAAGAAAGTTGCTCACTTTAGATGCCAGTAAGGCAAGCAATGATTATAGCAGAGTAACTTCAGAACATTATTTCCTTTTAGGATAGACAATAATTTTTCCTTTTAAATATTTAGCATAGATGTCAAAACTTTGCAGGCACATCAGCCACCAGATTTAGTTTTTACTACCGTTCCATACTTCTCTCTTAGGTTTCTGAGTTATATGTCCTATCACTTATGACCCTCCATTTTATTCCTGAGTTGGAAGTGAGAAACTAAAGGTAGTGGATAGGGAAGAAAAAAAAAACTGTTATAGTGGATTTTATTGCCTCGTTTCTGAAGGATACAGTCTTGAATAATAATTGCTCAGCAGAAAAGAAGATAATACATTGTCGATTATAATAAGGCCTACATTTGCTCCCCCTCCCCCCATATGTTTTCTTGACTTTACTGATGTTCAACCCTTATGAAAATCAAAGTCGGTCCTCTTTTAGCCTCTATATGTTTGCAGGGAGAAGAAAAACATCCCAATGTCATGCAGCAGCAAATTCCTCCTTCTACTCCCTCAGTTCAAACAGATCTGTTTCTTGGTCAGTCACAGGCTTCCTAAGCCTTCACTGCATCTCTCCTTTCAATCTGGTTCAGAAGTGATAGAGTAGGGAGTCAGGAAATGACCCTCCACTCTGTAAAGTAGGCTGGGAGAGTGAGCACTTGCTCAGTCTCCCACAGTTCATGGGAAATGAGCATCCCGTGGCCTCTATGCAGGAAGGAACTGAAATTCTCTCCTGCCAGCTAAGTGTTCCTTCCATGAGCCTCTGCAAACCTGGATGCCCATTTTAGATTAGACTTAATTGCCTTGGTTGACAGCCAGAATGGCAACCAGGCTTCCCCTCACATGACAAATCCAATTGCTTAATAGGATCTACCTGGAACTCTGTGTTAAGAAAAATGCTGAGAGGGGACTGGCAACACATGTATGACATATTTGTTTTTCATGACTTAGATGTTATCTACAAGAAGAGTCTCAGATGAGAACTCCATGACTCACAACACGATGGAATACTGATAGCTCATCTATGAATCCAAATATTTTAAAAATCAGTAACAGAAAATATTTTATCAAGACCAAATTTTGTATTGTACATGGCTATTCACAAATAATAATAAAACATTGGAAAAGATACATCATGGCTAACATGCTTTACATGGAAGCTCTTTTAACTATTATAAAAAGAACTTTTATGAATCCATACTTACAGGATCTCCTCCAGAGGCAAAAGAAATAGATTGCATATGATGATTTGCAATAATCTGTAAAATACAAACAAACATGTATGATGCTGCAGATTAATTATGCCTAGTTACATACAATCTAATAGTAATGGACATACATTTGCATGTTTTGTTTTTGCCTGCTCAGCATCCCTTTGGAAACTACTGTATCCATAATCTGTAAGAATCTCTTGAGGCTCAAGTAGGTTTGACATGCCCATCTCACTGACACTCTCCTTATGGCTGGACATGTGATCCAGGCTTCACCCATCAGAAAATACCATCCCCTCTGGATACAGCAAAGCCAATCAGTATCACGGGGAGGAACTGAAATGGGCAACAGGAAGGACTGCACTTCTCTCTGCCATTAGGGCCTTAGTTTAAGTCCAAATCTTCTGGGAGCCATCTTTTGCTGCCATGTGGGAAAAGCCTAATGGAAAAATAAAGCTTTCCCTCTGGGGAATATCAGGGTCGAGAGTTAAAAATATTTAAAAATCTGATGGTAACATCTGTTCCATCACTTCAACTAACCATCCCTCTTTCTTTATCTTTTTATGCATTTTTATATTTACTTATTTTTATATAAGTTAGCCTTAATTGGATTTCAGTCATTCACCACCAAACACAAACTAAGGCACTAACATTAAGATCTTCAATATGAAGTTATCCACGTGAACTGCATTAATGTCAGAAGACCATCTCCTTCATTTGAGATTTTAGACTTGCTTATTTGGAAACCACAGCATAATGACATATTTATTTATTTGTTCATTTATTTATTTAGATTTTATTTATTTATTCATGAGAGACACAGAGAGAGAGAGAGAGAGAGGCAGAGACACAGGCAGAGGGAGAAGCAGGCTCCATGCAGGGAGCCCGACACAGGAGTCAATCCTGGGTCTCCAGGATCACACCCTGGGCGGAAGGCGGCGCTAAACTGCTGGGCCACCGGGGCTGCCCTACGACCAACTTATAGAGACATATCTGTCATGCTGTTTTGAAGGTTCACTGAAAATATCAACTGCATCAGTTGGCTAATCTCATGTTCAGAATTGTTTAACCTAATCTACATAGGATTCTGCTTATTGATTTCATAAGATGGACAATTTTATTCTTAGATGCATTCTAATGGAATTGTATAAATACGTGCATCAAAGAACTTCTCAAGAAAGATAATTTTTTCTTTCTTTGTAATATCCCCAAAGTGGAAACAATCCCAATGATGAGTACTGTGATATTCAAAAATGGACTGCTATGTAGCGAAAAAACATATTTATTGGGCAAAAGAAGCTAGACACAAAAAATACACACTGCATGGTTTAATTCATATAAAGTTCAAAACCAGGCAAAAATGTTTATTCTGTTTGAAATGAGGATGGTGGTAATAATGGGGCAAAAAAAAAAAAAAAAAAGAGAGAGAGAGAGCAAATGGTTTTCTGGGATTCTGCAAATGGTATTTCTCGATCTGGGTAGTGGTTACAAAAATATGTCCGTTTTGTGATAACCAAGGTGCACATTTACAACTTGCGTACTTTCCTATGTTTATATTTCAGTTATGAGTGATTACTAAAAATAAATCAATATACAAAGATCAATGTCATTCCAACACAGCAGCACTAACCAATTATACACTGTATTGGGTAAGGGGTACATTTTACAAGAGTACCACTATAAAACTAGTACAAATCATGTAAGGCTTTTTAGAAAATTTCATTGGAGGATATAAATAAGACACAAACAAGCAGTAAAATACACATCACTTCTATGGATGAGAAGACAATATTGTAAAGATGTCAATTCTCCCCCAAATTAATCTGCAAATTCCATGCAACTCCAATGAAACTTCCAACTGTCATTTCAAGCTACTTCTAAAATTCACATGGAAGAACAAATGTGCAAAATGAGCTAAGATAATTTTTTAAAGAACAAAGAGAGGAGACTTTCCTTATCAGCAAGACACATTGTAAAATTGTAGAAATTTATTTAAATACAAAGTCTAAAAACAAACGCACACATTCATTTTCTTTTAGTCTATGATAAACGTGACACCAAACAGCCAACAAAAGGACAGTGATTAAATTAGTCGAGTTGAATGAATTAGCTGTATATATGTAAAAAACTAAATAAATCCTGTCCTCGTAGTATTTATATAAGTGAATGTTTTATCCATAAAAGATCTATTCAAACATTAGAAGACAAATACAAGATTACGCTGTGATCTGTGAGGTAGGAAAACCCATCTTGATAGAAAGGAAAAGACATACAGAAGAAATTAAAAACCTTCTATTTGATTACAGGAAAACTCATTTTAAAACTTTTGTCACCAGAAAAGACCCCTGAAACAGGACAAATAACAGGCAGGGAGAATATATCTGCAACATGTAAAACAAAGTATTCATTTAGTTGTAAGAAATTCCTACAAGTCAATAAGAAAAAGAAATAAACCAAAAATAAGAGCAGTTAATTTTCATAAGTAACACAAATGTTCAATAAGCACACTGAAAAATACCCAATTTCCAAGAAATCAAGGCTATGGGAAATAAAACAAGATATCATTAAATTGATAAAATCGCTCAACAAAACTATGTGCGGCAAGGATACAGATATTCTCAAACACTGCCGAGGACGGGTTACATTTGTACAGCAATCTTGGGAAGCAGTTTGACAGCATGAATTAAAAACTAAAGTATGCATACCCTACAATTATGCCTTCCCACTTCTAGGTTATTTATTCTAGAGAAACACTGGCGTATATGGATGTCATTTACCCATAGTTTATAATATTGAAAAATCGGAAATTTTGCGTGCAGTTAGGTCAACAACAGTATAGAAATGCTATAAACACACACACACCACCACCACCACCACCACCACCACCACCACCACCACCACCACCAGCACCACCACTCATCTGTGTACACCAACAAAGCTAAACCTTCAAGACATTGCAGAGGGGCTTTTTGTTTTGTAATCTGAAGACAGTTACGTAAGACCTGCAAAAACAAAAAACCCACACACAGAACAAGATTTTTGCACGAGGTTGTAAAGGAAAAGGACAAATGCAAAGGAAAAGGATTCAAAGAATACACACTGAAACTGACAACAGTCAACCTCCTGTGGAAATAGAGTCAAGTACTTCTTCAGCATGTAGCTAAGATAGATAATATGTTTGTGAATTTAAATTTTTTTTTTTTAATGGGGGAAACAGAAGTAGAGCTGAATGGATCAGTTCATAGTATGTTGTTCTGTGGTTGAGAACACTGTGATTTGGCGGTGTGGATGCGGGAGCCCTGCGCGTAGACGACAGGTGCTGAGACAGGTGCTGATGCGAGGGTCTAGGGGAGGGAAGGGGAAGAGGGACGGGGAGGAGGGAGGAGGGATGGGGAGAGGGAGAGGGAAGGAGAGAGGGAGAGGGGGACGGAGCGAGAGGGAGGGAGGGGGCAAGGGGAAGGGAAAGGGGGAAGGAGGGAGGGAGGAGGAGAGAGTGGGAGAGGGAAGGGGAGAGGGGGAGGGAGAGGGAGCGAGGGGGAGAGGGAAGGAGGGAGGGAGAGAGGGAGGGGGAGCAGGGGGAGGGGGAGAGAGGGGGGAGGGAGCAGGGGGGAGGCTGAAACGTCGTAACAGAGGCCACGTAAAGTATCTCCAAGTTTACAGCACCGTAAGGAGCGGGACGGTTAAGCAAAGCGGAGATAAGGCGACTCTCTTAAACGCAGGGCCTAGCCAAGCAGGAGGAACGGACGGCGAACGGGAGCCCCTCCCGCCGCAGGAGTCAGCACCCCCCCGCCCGACGGGCCCCCGGGAGGCGGCGTCTGGGGGTCGCGCAGACGCACGGGGTCACGCAGGCGCGCGGCGTTGGCGCACGCGCAGGACCGCCCGGCCGCGTAGCTCCGTCTGCAGGGACGCCTGGCTGGAGGTTGCGCCGCGAGTACGATGTCGGAGATGAACGAGCTGTCCGAGCTGTATGAAGAGAGCAATGACCTGCAGATGGATGTGATGCCCGGCGAGGGTGACCTTCCGCAGATGGAGGTAGGCGGCGGGAGCCGGGAGCCCTCCCCGAACCCCTCCCGCCACGGGGCCCAGCCGCAGCTGGAGGAGGAAGGCCCAATGGAGGAGGAGGCGGCCCAGCCAATGGCGGAGCCGCAGGGGGAACGAGGCCTTGCTCCCCGGCCCAGCCCGGGGGAGCAGCCGGGCCAGCTCGCCGGCCCTGACTTCGAGAGCGAGGACGAGGGTGAGGAGTTTGATGACTGGGAGGACGACTACGATTATCCGGAAGAGGAGCAACTGAGCGGTGCCGGCTACAGAGTATCCGCGGCCCTGGAGGAAGCCAACAAGATGTTTCTGAGAACGTCCAGAGCCAGAGAAGCAGCCCTGGATGGCGGGTTTCAAATGCATTACGAGAAGACCCCGTTTGATCAGTTGGCGTTTATCGAAGAGCTTTTTTCACTTATGGTTGTCAATCGCCTGACCGAAGAACTCGGCTGTGATGAGATTATTGACAGAGAGTGATTACATGCTGTTAAAAGAGGAGGAAGCTACTTGAGGAGAGACCCGACATTCCACGGTCTTTTGGGCTCATTCCAGATAGATAGTAACGGTGCCAAGGAAAAAAGTCGATCTTCAAAGAAAATTTTTGTTGTTGTTGTTGTGCAGAGTAGAATAGGGGCAGTGACTGCGCTCTTATGAAAGCATTGTTGGAGAAGAAGAAGAAACATATCAGGACTGTGGAAATCTGTTTTCAAGAATGTTCCTGAAACACCTGCCGCTTAGACTTTGTTACTGATCCCGATTATTTTCCTTGCATTGGGGAAAATGCCTTTCATATTTCACTATAAGGAATGGTTTTGCAAGAATAAGTTATGACCAAGACAAACTGCCAGTACAAGACCCCCACTGATACCAATTACGTGAGAAAAAGTAGTAACATCCAATTTAGGACACAAGATGTCTGAATCGTTTGGACTGAAAGCCCACTGAGGGAACTCTGGAGGTTCCACTTTGTGGTCTGTCCAAGCCAGTGTTCAAAGGCTAAATTTTTAGTGTAAAAAAAAAAAATTGGGTATTCTTCACTATCCCAAAAAGATAAACCCAAGAAGAAATATGTGTCATGTGTGATCTATCTCAAAATGTGTTTTCAAGAGCATCTGAAATTTTGTTTGTACATGTATCTTGATCATTTATAAAGCTACTATGATCTATAATTCAAGAAAATTTGTCTTGCCATTTTTAAAACTCAAAAATTAAGACGTCCATAATTTCAAAGTTAGACATTAAAATGTATGTGAAAGAACAGACTATTTCTGATACTCTTACATACTAGAGAAGTTGTTTTACTTGCTCTCTGTTTTTCATTTAACTTACAGGTGAAGGACTTTGGTTGAACTTCATAATATAAGAACTGTTAAAGTGAAAATGTCAAGTAAAAGGAAAGCCCTACATCCAAAAAGAAAGACTGAACAATTATGCCCTCAACCCTTAAAGGTTTTAAAACCTGCCCAGAAATCCACCTCAGTATCTGAAGTTTCCCTCTGTCTCCTCCTCTAATTACGCTTGTCATTGGTTATGCACCAGCATTCGAGATAATAAAACTTCTTGTTCTGTGTATTTTGTTTGTTTGGCCAAGAATATTGTTCACATACTTTATCTAAACACTATATTTTATTGTATTGTGCTATTTTATCTTATCATTGAAACCACTTTATGATTCAAATTTAACCACTATATGGGAAAGTGCTCCAGCTTCAAATAACTGATTTATAAATTAACTTGTGGATATTAAACTTGGCAAATTCCTATGAAAGAATTTGCCAGCCTGAGAAAACCTGTCCTATTTGAGCATGTTGCTGTGGTTATTAAGGTTCTGAAGTTGTATAAGAATAGTAGTAATTCTGTCAGAAAGCTGTGCCCAGTAAAACAGTATATTAGTAGGTCTGATGATCAATAAAAAGGTACTGGATGTTCCTGCTCCTTATGGCACTAAAGGACACATCCAGTACAATACCACAGCTCAGCCTCAGTTACAGTCATCTTGCCTCTTATGGGGGCGGGGGTCCTTTTCCATAAAGTAAAGGACTGGCGAGGGTGACCATAGTTACTGAAACACTAGCTTGGTGAGGAGGAGGATAGATAGATGGGACAATAATAAGCGAGATGTTAGCACTTACCATCCTAATCCTGCCTCTCCAATGCCTTACTTTCACTGCATTTTCAAACAGCTTGTAGCTGCAGCTAGAGGAATCTGATTATTGCTTGTATGATGTGAATTAACTGAATTTGGGAGTGGGGCAAAGGATGCCAACACACACGTAACTAACCAGTAGCGTGTACTTCCAGATAGAGGTGTCAGGAAAAAAACTGGATCTTCCAACCAGGAATTGTGATTATGTTCGTCTTTGGGACTGAGTAGGGAGCAAGAGGAGAGGAAAAGAAAACTCCCTGTTGGGTTTGAAGGCTCATTTTGAGAAGGACCTAGACTCCACAGTGGACCCCTCTGATGGTAGGTCTTAGAAAAATAGGCAGTGATCTGAGAGACCACTGAAATTAATACTTGTTTGTATTTACTAAAGATAGAAAGTAATAACATTTTAACACCCCTTTTAGAAGCATAAAATTGCTTGTATTTCTTTTAAAGTTTAAAGCTAACACTGGAATGAGGTGACCTAGTTCAAATCTGGGTTAATGGGAACTAAAGAACAGAGTTCTAGAGAGATTCTGGTCCTTACTTTGTGAACAGGGGAAAGAAAACCTTAAAAAGCTTATGAGTATGTGGGGTGATGGGGCATAGTTTTCTGGATCTTTTCATATACATTTTTATTAGATCAGACTGACCTCACTGGCTGCCCTAAAGACACATCTATTTTGTTTGACTCATGCTTAAAATTTTCATTTTTAATTAAAGAGCAACATCTCATAATCCAGAGACAGCAGCAAAACTCCCAGATTAACATCTTTTTCTTCCCCCAAAAGTTGAAGATCTGGCAGCCCTTGACCTATAGTTATGTGGGAAAAAGCATCCAATTCCTCTTCATATAGAGAAGGTATTGTACTGCCATGTTTCCCAGTGTTGTCTCCCCAACGTGGAAGCCAAGTGGCACTCACCGTATATCATTATGCTTGCACCATTGTTTTTCTTGCACCTGGACAGTTAGCATTACCTGTCTGGCCTCTATATGTTTGAAGTTGCCTCTCTTCATAGAGACTAAAAAATGTCTCCATTTGCTGCCTATTTTACTTTCTTTATCTCTTTATTACCCTTCTCAGTAAAATTTTACCAGCTGTTAGACTTGGTAGTAGGATTGTAGATATGAGTAAAGAATAGTGGGAGGAGGAGCTACTGAGACTGACATTATTGCTTAAGTCCCTAACATATTAAAGTATATCAAGGAAGTCTGCTTGGATTTTTAAAATGAGTATACAAAAATCCTTAAAACTTGCTTTTCCAAAATGTATCTTCCATCCCAAAATATGGTAAATTTTAAAAATTGCAATCATTATGTGTTTAATATAATTTAATTCTCTGCCTCTGAAGTTCTTTTGAAAGGACATTTTCTGGGAATGATCTGAAAGACCATTTCTGTGAATGGTTATATTCTTGAAGTTGTTCTCAGTGGCTGAAGATGAATGCGAACTGACCCATAAATACTCTGTCATCTATGAATGTATCTATTAACTTGAAACTGTTTATGTTTTCAGTCCAAAGTATATCTTAGAAGCATGAGGGGAGGCATTAGTATTTCTTGGTATTTATCTTAGAACTTCAAAGGGTAGCTGTCTTTAAGGAGAATTTAATTACTAGATCATTTTCTCATGTACATCTATCTATACGGTTGATTCTCTGCTGCCTTCATACCTTGAACATGTTACTTGCCCTTTTGATGGGATTTATAAAGCTTCTTGAGTTGAAGCATCCACAGTGACACATCTTTTTTTATACCCCACAATCACCAAGCCATTCCTACTAGGCCTGCAGAATGATTCAAAATTATTCTTAAAAATCAACACCTGGGTCTGAGATCAATGAGTTCCTAACTTCAGTCTTCACTCCAGCAGTGGGCTGAACATAACCCCATTCCACGCCACCAATACAGAAAAGATGTCTCACTTCCAGAGGCATTCACTGCTACAACTACTGGTAGTGGAAGCCACTCATGCCCACTGTCCCTACTTCTATTCTGCCAAAACGATGATGGGCATGTCACAATACCCCCCTCTAATAGCAGTAGCCTGGAAAAATTGTAGAAGGAGAGAAACAAATGAGAATAAACTAAGCCCCCTACCCTTACACACCACAACCCTATTCTTCCTAAATTCCACATTTCTTCAGTCACTCCATAGAAAGGACCATTTTTTAAAGTGCTTGTTATATTCTGCACATAAGGCTGTCACCATGATGGCTGTAGATTTGCCTACTTTTCCTCTCCTTCAAAATTATGAGATAATTCAAGTGCTTCTATACTCAATGAATCTCACTCATACTAAGGCAATAAGCACTCCTGGTACCATGCACGTGGATGAAAACTAAAAATAAATTTTCCATTTGCAAATGTCTTAAGAGCAAAGCATCTGAAAGACTGAATGATTGTTTCACCTTCCACCTAGACTTGCATCTTCAAAGCACAGCCTCAAATGTTCTGCTGTCATTATACCAATGGTACCACCTCTCTTCTATAACCAATCAGGGCCCAACTAGACACGAATTTGTTTTGAACTATTTCAGATTAACCGTTTTCCTCTATGGTGTTTTATACTACTGTGTAAGCAATATATTTCATTCTGCTTTTTTTTTTTTAAAGATTTCATTTACTTATTCATGACAGAGAGAGAGAGAGAGAGAGAGAGACAGGCAGAGAGACACAGGCAGAGGGAGAAGCAGGCTCCATGCAGGGAGCCTGACGTGGGACTCGATCCCGGTCTCTAGGATCAGGCCCTGGGCTGAAGGTGGCGCTAAACCACTGAGCCACGTGGGCTGCCCCTTATTCTGCTTTTGAACTTAGAAAATAAAGCAGCCCTCAGAACTGCAAGTGATTTTTTTTGGCAAAAAATATCAGAGTCAAAATGTATATAGCTGTACTTATATGTTACTGAAAATTTCATAATTTTATGTTTTAAAATATGCTTTCCCTGTTAAAGACTAGTTTATGAAAATGTCTCAAGGAAATAGGAAAAATGGTTGAGTAAATAACAGTTGGTACTGGGAGACTGGCACTGTGCTAAGTGATTTACATTGATGATCTTACTGAATCCCCTAAATAACCCAATGAGACATATACTACCGGTAAATCCACTCTCTCAAAAAAATGAGTGGGAAATATCAGAAAGGGAGACAGAACATGAGAGACTCCTAACTCTGGGAAACGAACTAGGGGTCGTGGAAGGGGAGGAGGGCGGGGAGTGGGGGTGACTGGGTGACAGGCACTGAGGGGGGCACTTGATGGGATGACCACTGGGTGTTGTTCTATATGTTGGCAAATTGAACACCAATAAAAAATAAATTTATAAAAAATACATAAATAAAAATTAAAGAAAAAAACAAAATAGGAATAATAATTTAAAAAATCCACTCTCTCAGAAACTCTGTGAATAGGTAGTATTATCTCATTTCACTGACAAGGAAAATTGAGTGGTAGAGTAAATTGCTGGTTAGTGGCAGAGCCAGGATTCCAACCTATGCTGTGACCTCAAAGCCCCATAGTGGTTTTGTTTGTTTGTATTCATGAGAGACACAGAGAGAGAGGCAGAGACATAGGCTGAGGGAGAAGCAGGCTCCCCGTGGAGAGCCTGATGTGGGACTTGATCGAAGGACCCTGGGATCACGACCTAAGCTGAAGGCAGACGCCCAACCACTGAGCCACCCAGGCAGCCCCCATAGTGTTTTATCTCAGCCAGCTACACGTTAAATCTTCCAGGTGTCCTTGATCAACAACAATCCATAGAGGAAAACCTTAAATATTAAGAACCTTGAATCACAACATATTAGATCAAGAAAAAAAATAGACTCTAACACACATAAATAACCTGATACAGGGAATTTAGCTTAAAACATAAAAAGCAAGTCAAACAGTGCCCTAGTTTATAACGTACACATTTAGTCCAGGGCCTGTATATCTTTTATATTTGCTTCCACCATGCTGTTCTTTGAGAAATAAGGTTCACAACGAGAACTCAGGCATATATACCATGGTATCATAAATCATCAAAGAAACTGTGTTTATGTTATAACATTTTACAAAGCATTTCAACCTTAAGAGTTGGAAGAAAATCTTTTATGCTTAAATTTCAATTAGCTAGAATATTAACCCTAATATTCACCCTGCCCCTCTGTCCTTCATTTACACCGTCATCCAACACAGTATGTTAGTTCTGAAAATGGAATTGCTTTCCCTTTGGGGAGCACTGATGGACAGTAATAAACAACTTGCCAAATGGTATTTACAATGTTATTTGCACCTTAGTTCCTATTACAAAGCCAATTAGGTAGAGGCAAGTATGCAAGCAGTTAAATGCCATGACGGGTTAATAATACTATCGTTCTAATTACTGTCATGGATAAATCCTTGGCAGATTTTTTTCCCCTTGTGCCTTATTAAATTTTAGGCACACTCTGTCTGAAATTTTATTTTCTTTATTATGCCCAGACTCTTCTAGAAAAAAACATATGTTAAACTATAAATGACATTTGTGATCTTACCTGTTGGTTGTCAATATTCATCAATGTGAGGCTGCATGTTGAGATGGTCAGTTTAATATTCATTCCCGAAAACTGAAGATTACTTTTGCCAAGAACTGTTGATAGGAACTTAACTGGAGGCTTTAAAAATAGCAAAACAACACTCTAAGTTAAGGGTTTTGTTACAAAATAATATGAATGTTTTTATGTGTTAAAAATGGGTCAAAACACATGCTCTTCCTCTCTATTTTACTTTACTTTAAACAAATCAAATGAGACGGAATGCTTTTTTTTTTTAATGAACAGTTTTTAAAAACGGAATGAAGCAAATTCTTTAATAAGTAGTGAAATCTGAGCCCTCGAACCCTTCTCATACATCCCAAGTGTTGGGAGAAGGGATCTGCTTTATATAAAAGGAATTCCGGTGAGAGTTTGGGCTAGCTGAACTTTCCGGTCCCTTTGAACACCAGAAGTCAAAAAAAAAAAAAAAAAAAGAGTTGGTGTAGGTTTTTTTGTGATCATTAAAAAGAAGTACTATGAGACATACCAAATGTATGGGACACAGGGAAGGTGGTGCTAAGGAGAAAATTTATAATTATAAACACTAACATTAAAAAGGAAGAAAACTCTCAATTCAAGAACCTAACTTTACAACTTAAGGAATTAAAAAAAAAAAAAACTAAACCCAAAGCTAGTAGAAGCAAGGAAGATTAGAGCAGAGATCAATGACTAGAGAGACTAGAAAAACAATAGAGAAAATCAATGAAACCAAAAGTTAGTTCTTTAAAAGATCAACAAAATTGACCAATCTTTAGCCAAATGGACTAAGAAAGAAAGAAAGAAGACTCAAATCACTAAAATCAGGAACAAAAGTAAGATGGAGATCAACAGAAACAAAAAGGATTATAAAAGAGTGCTATGAACAATTGCATATCAACAAACTGAATTACCTAGATGAAACAGACAAACCCTAGAAACATTAAACCTACCAAGACTTAATGATGAAGAAATAGATAGATAACCAAAACTAATAGAAAACAAAAGCAGAAATAACAATAGAAAATAACAAATGTTGGAAAGGATGTGGAGAAATAGAAATCCTGTGCACTAATGGCAGGAGCATACCATAGTACAACTGCTATGGAAAACAGTATGGCAGTTCCCAGTTCCTCAAAAAATTAAAAGTAGTATTACCAAATAATCCAGCAATCCTCCGACTTGTTATATACTCAAAAGAACTGAAAGCAGGGACTTGAATAGGTAGTTATATATCCATGTTCCTAGAAGCATTATTCACAACAGCTAAAACATGGAAACAATCCAAGTGTCCATCAACAGAAGAATGGATAAGCAAAGCATGGTACATACATACCATGGAATATTATTCCCTTAAAAAGGGAGGAAATTCCTTTTTTTTCTTTAAATTCAATTTAATTAACATATACTGTATTATTAGTTTCAGAGGTAGAATTAAGTGACTCATCAGTTGTGTACAACACCCAGTACTCATTACTTCAAGTTCCCTCTTTAATGCCCACCACCCAGTTATGAAAATATGGAATGTTTCATGAATTTGCAAGTCATCTTTGTGCAGGGGCCATGCTAATCTTCTCCGTATCATTCCAATTTTAGTACATGTGCTGCCAAAACGAACATGGGAGGAAATTCTAACACATGCTACAGCATGGATGAATCTTGAGGACGTTAATGTGCAGTGGAATAACCCAGTCACAAAAAAAAATACTATGATTCCACTTACGTGAGGCACTTAGAGTAGTCAAAATCATAGAGACAGCAAGTAGAAAGGTGGCTGTCAGGGCTGGAGAAATCAGGGAGTGCAGTCATTGTTTAGTGTGTATAGAGTTTCAGTTTTACAAAATGAAAAGAGTTATGGAGACGGGTAGCGGCGATGGTTGCACAATAATGTGAATGTATATAATATCACTGAGCTGTACACTTAAAAATGGTTTAAATGGTAAGTTTTATGTTATGCATATTTTACCATAATTTTTTAAATTGGAAGGGAAAAGAGCATAAAAATATACAGCGCATAGAAGAGTTCCTGGAATGTATTAAGTATGCAATAAATGTTAGCTATCAAAGGAAATTAACTGAATTTTTTTTCCTTCCATGTGTACTTTTTTGGAAAGATGATAACCTGCTTTGTTTTGTTTTATTATGTTTTGGGGTATGAGCTCCCCATTTTTGAAATGAGAAAGTCTTAAATGAGTGAGCCTGTTTGTTGGGATCATCCAGTAAAAGCATCCTATTTGCAGACATTACAGAGGCAGGAGGAGGCCAGAGGCTACTTTGGGGCCATAGGTTTCATCAAAGAAACTAGTAAATAGGGAGCTCTAATAGAATTCAAAGGCTACTTATCAGTGGTTTTCTATGCCTTGTGGCTCATCTGAGTCACTCTGGGTGACACTGGATTAGCCCTATGCAAAATAATGAAGAATAATAAAGAATGAGGCAGGGTGGTATGAAAATAAAGCGCTAAGCTGGAAATCTGAATACCTGGCTTCTATAGCTGGCTGTTACCATCATCATCCAAGTTACTCAAGACAGATCTCCTATGAGCCAGTCTAGTAGCTGGCAAAATAAGAGGGCTAGACTGGAAGATCTCTAAAAATTCTTTCTCTCTTAAACAACCTATAATTCCATGATATCCATAGTCATCTTAAGGCCCTTTGCACCTCCCCTTTGGACATTCCAAAGCAATAAATGTTCTAGGGTTAAATCCAAGTCTATGCAACACCAAATCTTATGTTTTCTTTCAAGCATGAGAAGTGCCTTCCACTCATGGGTTATTATCGCACCTCTACCAGCACCCACAGTTCCATTTGAAAATAGGCCAAGGAGTCTAAAAATTCTAAAATGTTAAAATGCAGAATAGATACATTATAAAATAATGAAATTGGAAGGAACCACACCGGTCATCTGGTTCAACTTAACTTTACAGGAACAAGGATGGGGTCTCAAAGAGAGATGAGATACTTCAAAGGTAAGTAAACACCCAGGACTGGAACCCAGACTTTTTGACTTGAAACCCAGGCGCTTTCTTCATTCTGTGGCTCAAGGCATCACCATTTCAGACAGTGTCAGGCAAGTCAGAAACAATTGAGAGACAAGAACAACTTTCAGTGCATTTCTGGTGTCATGCCAACTGATAAAGGCCATTCTGGACTTCAGCTCATTGGGTAAAATGAACTAACAACTATTTTGATATCCTCTTTTATGTTTAGAAAAACATAAAACAAGAAAACCACACCAATATTTACCTTTCTCTTTTTAATGGCTCCATTTGCCCCAGAGACGGCTTCACACAGGCGACTTATTGCTTCCCTACAGAACAGAAACCATAGAAAGACTTAGCATACTAACATGCAGTGAATGGTCAATAAATGCTAGCAAGTGTTACAGATAAAATGTGCACACATATAATGGCGAGTCTGACATAAATGATCTTCCCCTATTCCCACAGGATAAAGCATTGTACCTTGTCCCTCTGCCGTAAACTCCCAGAAACCCAGCAACAAAAAAATAAGCAAAGGAGAGCAACAAAGCCACTTTACAATAAGGAGTCCTACTATTCACCTTCTTGATCTCTTTTTCCCTTGATTTTCAGGTTTGATTTTGAGCCAAAAAAGAGGGGTAGAACTTTGTTGTCTGAGGATAATTCAGTTTTACTTTCAGCAAAATCCTCCCTGTGGTGTTATGAATAAAAAGCTTCCTAGTTTCTCAGCACCAAAGACAATGAAATACAAAATAATCTGACAGTAGGGGAAGTTTAAAAGGATGGGGAGAGAATTGAACTTCAAGGTGGTCTCAAATGGAGCTTTATTGACTGAGATACTGCGACAAGTCATTGAGCTTTCACGTAATTCCGCAGAAGAACTGAAAATCAATAACAAATTTCCTCCTTTGCTTATTTTTTTTGCCCTTACTCTGCACTGTACTTCCTGAGAGAAAGGCACCACGAATATATGAAGTTGGTCCTTAATGGAAGTGGTGAATGAACTGGCGCCCTCCACTCCAGAAATGCAGTTATAACTAAGAGCTTTTGTCTCTGGAACTCAGCATTCACAACGGCCGGAGCTTTCACTCAGTGTAATCTGAACCATAACCTTGTGGCTTTCAACACATATATTAAACTTTTCACAAAGCACATCTCTAAGCTCTTTCCTGGATTCACTGGAGATCATTGCTTAAATTAGTAAACTGAATTAGTACACACACATATGCGCACGTGCAATTTTTATACATATTTCATGAAAAATATTTTCTTTGAGATATTTTTGATTACTAAAGGAAGGAAGGAACATTCAGAGGAATGCAGACCCACTAAAGAAATCTCTCCATCTATATATAGTACAGATACAGCTATATAGATAAAGATGCATTACCGCAGATTTAATTCTCAGTGTTCTTCTAGAAGACAGTTTGGAAAGATAAGTAGAATTCCCAAAAATTCTGGGCATAGTTTTAGATTTATAGTGTGTGTTTTAGTTTTAGTTCAGAGTCCTTTTTTTTCTCTCCCCCCCTTCCCCCCCCCCCGGTATATGAAACTCTTCTCCAAGGTATTCTATTGCCTGATTTTTGCATAATTACCTGTAACCAAAACACAGAATGGCTTTTTGGTTTGGCATATTTTCTCAGGATTTTATATTTATAGTTTCTGTTGGATTCCAACCTTTGTTCTCTGGATGAAACAGGACTGCTCAGAGAATTAGGCTATTTGGTTGGTTGATTAATGTTTGAGTCATCTTAATGATTATTCAAGAATTGATGAGACACATAATAATAAATCTGAATTAGCCTCTGGTGTTGCCAAAATAGCTAGTTCAAGCACCTATGTTGTTGATATCTAATAAAGAGGGATTATATAAAAGGTATTATCAGATCCTTTACTCCATGAGAGCAAACTGGGGTGCTTTCGTCTAAAAAAGCCCCTTGTAAATGGTTTGAAATAAAAGTAGAAACAAAGGTGGGCATTGATGCTGCCAAGTATAACAACAGTTATTATTAGTTGTTACTTTTTTATAGCACCTTGTAGTTTTACAAAGTGCTTTCCCAGGCATTGTTTTTTTTTTTTTTTGATTCTCATACAGGCAATATCGTCCAGCAAAAAGTAAAGTTGTAAATGGGAATTAAAGGGAGTGCTTTATAGCATGAGTACCTCTCGAGGACGGTTTGGAAGGATGAAGCTTCCTGGCAGAGTGGAGTTTGGAAATTCCAGACAGAAGGAGGAGCATGTATAAAGACAGGAAAATATAAATTATCATGATCTGAGGGGAACTACAAGTACTTTGATATTGCTGGAGAATAAAGTGTGGAAGAACAAGAGTGGATAAAAGCTCAGAGATAGGATTAGACTGAAAACTTTTTCTGTAAAGGGCGATAAATATTTTAGACTTTCCTCTGTTACAACTACTCAACTCTGCCATTATAACTCAAAAGCAGCATTAGACAATATGCAAACAAATGAGCATGGCTATGTTCCAATAAAACTCTATTTCCAAAAGCAGGCAGCTGGCTATATTTAGCTGAAGGACCATAGTTTGCCAACCCCCGGATTAGATAATTCGTACAAAAGAGATAGAAATAGTTCAGTTTTTAAAAACAGGAAAATGTTCACATTCATTATAATTTTAAAATTGAAAATTAAAACAACTATGAGACACTCACTTTACTCACATTAAGTTAGCAAAAAAGAAGATTACAAAGGCACTGTTGGGGAAGATGGGAAAGAGTCCACTTCAGACGTACTTATCCATTCCTGGGGGCCTGATTAGCATTAATACGGTTTTCCTAGAGAGTGATTTGGTGAAAGATGATAAATCTCTTCACCTTTATCAGGGCTTTTGACAAAATGAGGAGAATTTGTATTGAAATAGCATTGAGTATGTAGAGGAATAAACATTTTAGAGTAAAAAAACCAACTCCATAGCTTGTGATATAGGCATAAAATGTATCATATAAGTATTTCCACTTGGAATGTTAAGTATGAAGACTATAGAAATAAGGGTCTATATAAATGAGTAGGTGGAAAAGTAGAACTTGGAATGGTATACACACCTTGGTAGCAGCTACATAAAATTGTCAATAAATAATGATATACAAAGAGCTTATAAACAATGACTTGGTTTGTGTGTTTTTTGTGTGTGGTTTGTTCTCTATTTTTATTCTATCAATATTTAGCTCTAAATAATGTTTTCCCTTCACTGTGCAGTTGACTGAATAAGAAATCTTTTAAAATATTAAAAGAATGCAAAGTAAGTTCTTCAGCAAGAGTTTTGCTCATCTGCTATGAAAATGTGAGGGCATGTCAAAGATGTCCCAGTGAGGGAGGGATACAGCTTTCTCTCTTTTGTCAACACCCACAGAGAGATGTGGCAATGTTCATGTTGCAGATAATAAATGATTTTCTTTATTTGTATCTTTTTCTCACCTCACCTTAGCCTTTAACTCTTCCCATCTTTACGGCTGCTAAATCCAGATTTATTTTTTCAGTTCATTTGGTAGACTTGCTTATTTTATTTCCCCAAAGTTTCATAAAGAAGAAAAATCTTTATCAATTTAGCAACACTTTCAAAATAAGAATCCTTACCTTTAGAATAATACACAATGCCACTGCAGGGAGCCTGGATTTGTTTTTGTTGTTGTTTTAATTTAAATTCAATTTGCCGACATACACTGTAACATCCAGTGCTCATTTCATCATGTTCCCTCCTTAAGGGAGCCTGGGTTTTAAAAGGAATGGCTCCTATTTAGATGGCCAGGCCCAGTACTAAGTACCTTATGTACATCATCTCATTTATTCTTAACAATGTCATTTAAGGGACACCTAGGTGGCTTAGCGGGTGAGCCTCTGACTTTGGCTGAGGGGGTGATCTCTGAGTCCCGGAATCGAGTCCCACGTCGGGCTCCTTGCATGGAGCCTGCTTCTCCCTCTGCATATGTCACTGTCTCCCTGTCTCTGTATCTCTCTCTGTGTCTCTCATGAATAAATAAAATCTTTAAAAAAAATAATGTCATTTAAATCTTCAGTTCTTTATGATTCCACTCAACAAAAGAGCTGCAGAAGTGGATTATTTGGGTATTTGGAGAGGATACATTTGGTGGTTTTGGAGAAAACTTTTTCACTCCATACTCAAATGTGCTTTATTGTCAAGTGCATATTTAGACTTGGTTCTTGAATTATAATGGTGATCTGATGCTTTTTCTTTTAATAAAATTTGGCTGACAATGTTTGATATTTTTTAAATGTGTAATCAAAGAAGTACAGCTACTATTCCATATTAGTCCTGCATTTCTCCCCTAAGTTCCATTTAGGTTAAATCAGTTTTCTTTTTCTCTGAGTTTTAATTCCACAAAATAACTTCAGAATAGATTAGAAGTTGAGTATAACAATTAGTGTTTTAATTTCATAGAAATCTCATTGTGACATTTTTCCTGATACGTAAAACAGTCCATTGGCAAAAGTGTATTTTCCTGCTTATTTGTAAGATTATATTTAGTGACATTCTTTTCTTTGATTATCAAAGATTCTCACTACAGGCAGGGCTATTTCTTGTGCCTAAGAATGTTTCTCAAAGCTTCATCACTAATGTCCTTGCTGAGTTGAGTGTAGAGAAAGTTTCTCATCTCCTATTCAAGTTAATATCAAGCACATGTGGATGCTTTAGGGTGAGACTGTAGTACAGAATGCATAAATTTTGTCCCCAGGAAATTTGCAGTGAAGCAGTGCTGGATAGGGTTTTTCCCCCTACTCCATGAGCTCTGTTAACTCTGTCTTCAGTAGGTGTGATGTTTAAATAAACCAGATGTCTAATAAATTAAAAAAAATAAACAATATCATTTCAAGATAGCTATTTTATACCCACTTTACAAATGTGGAAACTAAAGTTCAAAGAATTTAAATAACTGCTTCCAAATAATGCAGATGGTGGGAGGAGCAAAATACAAATCCAGGTCTGAATTCAAAACCTACACTCATTCTGTGACCATACTGCTAGGTGCATGGAAAGGAAGGCATCTCACACTCTCAGGACCAGGAAAAGAATATCAGACCTTCCCTTGTCCACTCCCCCCAACAAATGAGGGGTTCCTTTTTGCCTAATCCTTACTCTAATGTGTCTGGAGTAAACTAGCAAGAGAATAAGGCAGAGTGGCAGGGATCAATTCCAAAAAAATCTCAAATGGATGACCCTTCCCCTTTCCCAGACACTATTACATTCTCTACACTGGCTGTTCTCTCCTCATGGAAAAAAACAGCATCCAGAGCCCAGCTGTATGCCCATGTGGGCAAACATTCTCATGTATGCATGGGTATACTCACTCTA